AAAACCACATCCAATAAACACCAGTGTGGACGGAAATGTGTGTTGAGTGACTGAGACAGACGAACATCGCGTAGGATTGTGACGAAAAATAAGAAGACTACAGCTGCAAAAGTGACTGCTGAACTGAATGTTACACTCACAAACCCTGTCAGCACCAAAACAGTACAAAGGGAACTCCACAAGCAGGGTATTTCTGGACAAGCTGCAATTCCAAAGCCACTCATCAGTGATCAAAATGCCACTAAGAGAGTGTGGTGCCGAAGTCATAAAACCTGGACTACGGAGCAATGGAAGACAGTCATTTGGTCAGATGAGTCCACCTTCACACTGTTTCCGACTTCTGGCCGAGTTTATGTCTGGAGAAAGGCATCCCAAGCTTACGATCCAGATTGTTTGCTGCCAAGAGTGAAACACGGCAGAGATCCGATCATGGCATGGGCAGCCATATTGTGGTATTCTGTCAGACCCATCATTACCCTGCAAGGTCACATCACTGATAACGACTATGTGACCATTTTGGGTGACCAGGTCCATCCCATGGTGCAAACTTTGTTCCCCAGTAGTGATGCCATTTACCAAGACGTCAATGCCTGTGTTCACACAGCTCACATCGTCCAGGAGTGGCTTTCTGAGCACGAAGATGAAGTGTCAAGTCTGCCATGGCCCCCACAATCGCCAAATATCAATATTATTGAGCCTTTGTGGCCTGTTTTAGAGAGCAATCTGCGTGTGCGCTACCCACCTCCATCATTGTTAACAGAACTTGCCAATGTTTTGCATGAAGAATGGTACAAGATTCCCTTGCAAATCATACAGGACCTCTATTTATCCATTCCAAGGAGACTCCAACCAGTTCTGTAAGTCAGAGATTGTCCTACACCATATTAGTCATGGTAATGTGCTTTTTGTTGGGTGTTTCCATATTTTTGTCCATCCCCCTCATTTTCCATGTCTCTATGATATATATTCCTCCATATCAATCCCACAGCCATGCACTGGCAGCTGTACCAACACTCACAAAATCATACAGTATTCACTTCTCTTTATGTTATGTGCTGGCTTTCTATGGTAAAGGTAAAGTTATCATGCTTAATAAAGCATATGTATTGGTGCGTGTGTAGGAAGTATGGCTTCATATGTTTTTAATGTTGGCTCTAGGTGCAGGTGAGTGGTCAGCTTCACAACCTCTTTGTTTTACCTCCAGAAACAGAGCTCATGGTAATCATTAGAAAGGAGGCTACGAACCCCAGTGCTGATCTTAACGTGGTGAGCAAAGAATCAAACCCAATTCCAGCATACAGCTCACAGCCTAAGTCATACTGATCTACTCCAGCTCTAAGTGCACAAATAGTTAACATAGTAACGTCACTATTATTTTTTTTTTCAAGATGTCAGTAATGGAATGCAAAAAGAATTCCTACCATCTCCCCCTCTCATGCAAATCCAGATGTTTGCCTCCATTCCTCTAGCATTCTGATACAAATATAAACAATATAATCAACACTGTGTGGTTAATCCAGCAGTAGAAGCCTTAAACTCAAAACTTTCTTACTAGCCAAATGCTGGGTCAGAGATGAAGCCCGTAGATTAAAAGGCAGAGAATGTGATGTGCAGCCTGGTCAGGGTTATAACATACCTCAGGGAGTAGAGACGAGTACACATGAGTTATCCCCTTACACACAGCTTTTCTATGGTGTGTCCAATGTTGGCACAGCCAGAATTCCACTTCATGCCCCAAGATCTGTCTTGGTACCACTTCCCTTACCACTGCAAATCTTAACAAATTACATATTAAGGGCCTCACGATATCAAAGAAATACTGACAACATTACTATCAAAGCAGGAAGCGGTGATATCCAACAAGGAATGATTCTCCAGCTTTGGTGCTGGACACATGGCTACAACATCTAACTACAAAAAAAGTGGCATGTCATGAAATGTATCACAATATTCCTTTAGTATAAAATTGTTCAGAATAAATCCCATAGGAGGAGTTTTGTAATTGGGTGATGAAACTCCGGGTTCTTTAACAGCAGACAATAGCTCGATTACTTAAAGAACACTCTGTACCATTGTGTCATACACATGCACAATATATGCATGTAACACTACATGATGTCTGGTAAGATGTACATTTGAATAGAATTTATGACCAAATATTGTAACATTCAGTTCCTGTTGGAAATTTTATTACTGTGACATGCAGACTCATTTATGGGCAATGCCCAAAATATGCACGCTCAACAACAGGCTATTGGAAGAAGTGTTTTCTATGTTGTCCACAGGAGGGATGTTTTCTATGTGGTCTGTGCCAGGACCTGTGCTGGGCAGCGGGACAACAGACACACATTCTGACATGTGACATTTTTCTGTGCTGTGTGGTCCATGCTGAGGAAATATAAGAGAGTCAAATTCTGAAGGCAGCAGTTGTAGGAGTACAGAAGAGTAAAACAGAGAGTACGAGAATGAGAATTGAGTCTGGTGTCTGTGGGAGATAACCATGGGACGTTAGTAGTTGAAAAGGAATTAGAAGTCAGCCTGTGAAGCATGAGAATCATAGCATGTGTGTAACTGTGAACTGTAAATTGTATAAATCAGTGCTATCGCCGTACTGCTTGTAAGTATGAGTCACTAATCCAAACCCTGTCTATAGTCACTAATACAAGTGACATTATTTACAGTTTACTTAATGACACTGTCAGTAAGTCATATTATTTAGCACTAAATGGCAGAATGATCAGTGATTAGTGAACTGGGAAGGATGCAGAAGGAAGAGGTAATGGCATAATTTCGGGTACTACATCAACTTTTACCACATGGGATTGAGGAAAACCATGAAAAACGTCAGTCAGGGTAGCAGATAACCCAACGACAACCTGACCGCAAGTCAGAAGCACTAGTTACCTCATCAGGACATCACATTTTGGAATATGACTAAGGGATACTTTCTGCTGGCATGTCCTTCCAAGCTTATCTGAAATTCACATAAATGCTGAATATCACACAGTAAATAATAGTAATTATGTACAGTAATAAAATAAATAATAACAAGAAGACAAATAATAAATATGTGCTCCCATTAATCCACTGATCCATAATTATATACAATTACAATAATCAAAACGGGTTTAAGTATAACTTTTTTCATTCACATTATTGACTTCTATATTAAATCAATAATTTTAATTTTTCTGCATTGGTACCCCTGTCTGCACTGTGTCTGTGTGGTAAACGAATGGCCTAATTGTGGAGTTGTAGTTCCAGTCTTTCTGAACCTTATGAACTAGATGACAGTGAATGGTCAGTGTCACACCCTGATCACTTCAATCATGGGGACTGTTCGGGTACCTAGTAGAGAGGATTAGTGGGCTCCAAAGCATGCAACAGTAGAGCAAGCTGTGTTTTCTGTGTGACCAGTAGGCGGCACAATAGTGGTGATGTCACACATCAACAGTAGGTGGTTGTCACATGACGTGTTTCCTGCGTGTCCATCAGCTGCGCGTCTGCAGTGATGTCACACAGCAACAGTGGGTAGGGGTCACATGATATGTTTACTGTTGGTCGATGTCAGTCCATCAGCTATATAAGACAGTAGAATTCCTGAAATGGCAGAGAAATAGTAGTGGCAGAAGCATGCGAGAGAGTGAATTGGAACTACAGATGACAGTTACAGTGAGTGACAAGAGTTCTGAGTTCTTGGTAGGAGACACCCACAGGAAGTTCATATTTGAAGATGAGTTACCTTGTGAACTGAAGACTTTGTGTGTGCTACAGTGCAGTCAATTTGGAGTGTGTAATACAGTGAGACTTTTACAGTTCCTGTGTTATAAATCCGTTGCTAGGAAGCAGACAGTGAAGACTGGTGGAAACAGACTAAGAAGATTAGCGTGGAGTGATTGTAAATTGTGTAAATCAGGAAGAGTGCAATAATTATTTGTAGTTAAGACCTGTAGGTTGTTAATAAATGCAATTACCAATCCAGTCACTAATACACCTGACAGTATGTATTACAAAATTTCTTATAGTAGTTTCTGAACATGGTCAGCTGACCAAATCATGTAAAGGCAATAAATATCTACAAATTGAATCACAGTGGATGGTGTTAAAAATTATTCTATAATTTAATTTACTGGTGTGATGGACCAGAACAGAGTTAAGGTGATATAATGAGATTTGTTATGTTTATTATTTGATATATGTGTTTGCTGTTTTCTGTAGTTGTACTTATGTGTGATTTCTGTGGATACTGAATGTTTTTTTTTATTGCTAGTGGAGTGGGACTAAGTCCCTTGTACTGCGGCCACTTCTGGCCTATTGTACCAGCCCCAGATGATAGGTGAGGGTGATTGTGGAGCCATTGGTGGAATGAAGATTGGCAGAGGAAACCGAAGTACTCGGAGAAAACCTGCTCCAGTGCCACTTTGTCCACCACAAATCCCACTTGGCCAGACCCAGGATCAAACCCGGGCCACCGCTGTGGGAAGCCAGCGACTAACCGCTTGAGCTATGGCGTGGCCCATATTGAATGGTTAATGGGAGTGCTATGTTTGGTGCTAGTGCAGTGTTTCAGTTATGTTTTGTTATCTGCTGTGAAGTTTGTGTAGCATTCCAATTACTGTATTATGGTTATCTAATGTGTCATTCATATATAGGTTGCCTTTATTGATTTAATAATTAGATAAATATAGAATTTCTCTAGTGTATTTAAATGTTACCTCTTTTTTCTGTTTTTATGATGTCCATAGTATCTCATGGTTCCACATGTGTGCCCTGTGTTAAATATATGATTAGGGCATCCTGAATTACCACTACTGTATCATATGACTATGTGTTCTTTATATCTAGTATTGGAAGAGTGTCCTGTTTGTCCAATGTATTTAAATAGATAATCTAAACATTTCATTCAGTAGATGCCATTCTATTTGCATCGTCTATTTGTGGTGTTGGTTTCAGTATGTTCTCTATTGTGTTACACGCATAGACCGAAATTTTCATGTCAGTGTCTTTGAATGGTTTTGTAATTTCTTTTTTTTTTCCACTATATGTGAAAGTAATCAATTTCATTTTGTGGGTTTTAGATTTTTGGGGTGTTGCATTTTTGTGGTGGTGGGGAGGTTGTTATTTGAATGTTGTTCTATTAGTTGTTTTGTAATATGAAATGTTTATTTACGTTAACTTTGCTACTACTGTTATGGGGTATGTAATCTATTTATCAGATAGGTGATACTTGATAATTTGCGTTCAATTGGGTGATGGGAATCATGGTGCACCACATCTGTTTGTGCTTTTTTTGATATATTGAGAAGTTCAATTTACTGTTTTTGCAGTGTACTGTAAGGTCAAGTAAATGGATTGTATTTTGTTTCTTTCTCTATGGTGTACTTGATGGATGGCTGTAATTTAACAAATTCCTTTAGGGTTTGTACTGTATTTGTTTTGTTTTGGTCATATGTAACAGGGTGTCAGCAGCATATCTGAAGCATCCTGTGATATAGTGTTATATTATTAGTGTGTATATATGTGTGTGTTCCATATTCTGTAAGTATGTTTCAGCTAGTATTGCTGGTGTAGAGGTATCAATGCCTAGCCCACTGGTTTCTTTATAATACTGCTGATCAAACTGGAAGTAATATTGTTCTAGGTTTATCTGTAATATATGTAATATTTCTTTCTGTATGTTTTACTTAATGCATGAGTTGTTGCTTAGAATATTGTGTATTACATTGCAGTATCTATGTTTGGTATGTTTGTAATATTAAAAGAGCATATCTGAATATTCTTGCTGATCTGTATGCTCTTTTGGTCTGATAGGTGAGAGGAATTTTGAATGTTGAATATATGTGGGAGATGTAGAGTTCGCTGTACGTTCTTCTTAATATTTTGCTATTTCATTTGTCAGGGAATTTTTCCAGTTTAGTATTAGTCTGATGTGTGTGTTTCATGTTTGTAGCTTTATTTTGGCATGTAAATTGGTTTCTATGGGATTCACATGTGTGTATTTCTGTGTGTTTTCTTTTGGTATAATCTTATCACACAATTCTGCTGTTTGTTCCATGTCTTTTTTGGTACTGTTAACTGGAAGTGTTTTGAATTTTTATGAACTGGTTTTCTTGTATGCAATTTTGTATTTTTTTGTTTGTATTTATCATGTGTTAATATGACTAGTGTTTTTCCTTTGTCTGCTTTTGCTGTGATGATGATATAATGGTAGTGAATATTACCTCACAAATCCTTAATGATAATATGGGATCACCCATTCAACACAAGAAGCACCAACTAGTGTCACAACCCTGACAACAGACTTCATATATTCTAATACCAACTATAAAAAATAAGCACCAGAAAGCTTGTAACTATGGCACGATATTTACAATGCGTCTTTCATCACCATTTGATACCAGGCCACAAACACACAAATTCTCACACAAGACAATATGTACTTCCAATAAACTAAAGGCTACAAACATTAGCATACAATCTTAATACTAGCTGCTACATATGTGATGTAATAACTTTACAAATGGTGGTCATGGCAAGTGGGTTCTGCAACTTGGGTAAAATACAATGACAACCATCAACACATCTTCATTAAGAGCTCATGGAACAAATAAGAGTATGTGAGAGCTGAGGTTCTCACAGCTGTGACTATCAAAATTACTGTTCTGAAGGATGTGATTCCATGTAGTCTGGTACGTGTACCAATATTTCAGACGAACCTGGTGCCTCTATCTTCATCATAGATCAGTGACTCATCTATTCTGAAGATGGAGGCAGCACCAACAGCAAACCTCTGCACACTATGCATAAGTTACCTCATTTAAAAATTGTGGTCTTTCAGGTCAGGTGTTACAAGAGATCAGAAAAATAAATACATCCAACCAGTGGTCAATAATTAAAACTAACTAGTCATGCCTTCTGGGAAATATATGTTATGTTTAAATATAAACTAACACAGAAAGGGTTGTCCATAACAGTGAGCCTTCCCATGTTTAAAAGGAAAATTGATTGTAAGTCTAGGCTTCAGAAAAGTATGTCACATTTCTCTGGGTTCACAGTTTTAGTTGTAATAGATTTTCAGCATAAGAATACATTTTGCGAACTGTAACCCAGTCATTAAAAATATCACTGCAACTAAACATTCTATTTTATTTCAGGAATACTTCTATATATTGCAAGCATGCAAATGTTAAATGTAACATGTGCTAAGATGTGAAACGTTTCTGTACATTCACCAAATCCACTTTTTTTTTGGCACATTAACTTTCATCATACAGGAATAGGGGTTTTAAATCACCTGATACAATAGGATGAAGGCTGGACCTTAACTCATGGGTAACAATATCACCATTGAAAAACTGTAATGACTGGGAAACTGGACCAAGCGCACATGCTGTTATAACAGTGTGGTGTATCAACAATAAAGATTAATTACTCTCACTTTATAAGGCATCTCTCCTGTAATTTGAATTTTCTTCTCTTATTCCAAAATAAGCCAAGAAAAAGAGCAGAGTACTCGTATACCGAGATCAGTGAAACTTTCTTACAACAGTCCCCAACATGTTTCCCATCTTCAATTACTGATAACATAGGGTCCCACTACTGTGTATGTTTTTGTCATGCTTAACATAAAATTCCCCATTTTCCATCCGAGTATTTATTTAGAGGCTTCTGTGTCATGATCTATGAATATATTTATCATTGTAAAAGGCATATAAATAAACGACAAGAAGAACAGAAATTGACACTGATATGCAAGAGGAGCCAAAGCATGAATTCAAGATTTCAGCATGGAATGATAAGAATTTAGCTAGAAAATCTTACAGGAATTTAACAAATGAAGTAATTAACTTCAGTATCACAATTTATTAAAAAGAAAACAAAAACGACTATGGGAATTTTACAATTTTTATATCACACAATAAAACGTCAGTAATTGAGACTGCCTTTCTCTTTGTATTTATCTTACTCTGGCAAAACTGGGACTTTCCCTAACTACAATTTGATACAACTTACCACTTCCTATTGGCTTAAGTAAGTCATCACCTAAGTATTGGAAAGTACTATGCCTATCAATAACAATTTTTGGGAAACAGGGTTTGAAGTTACAGAATCAACTGCAGTTTAAATGTGACTTAGAACAAAACATTTTCTGAAATCTCACACTTGCAAGTAAGGTAAACCTCTTGAAATGTGTGGAGATAGTGTAACACAAGATGGAAAAATGGAAAATAGCATCACCTCATTTTTGACAATGAGTGGAGCCACTCAAACACTCAAATGTAAAAATACACATACAGTATCTAACATTTAATGAAAACAATACAATTTTCTATTTTTAAAAGGAATACTACAATAAAAATTAATAATTTTATTCAGTTTTGTTTTTAATATAAACACCGTCATAACACTTTTCTTTTTCTTTTTATTATACAGTATTTGCATCCAAACACCACAAAGTTAACACATGTTGCTAAATTGTGGCTAAATTAGTTTGTTTCTATGAATTTGAATATTTGCCTGTAATTATGTTACATAAGTTGGACTTTTCAACAATTCAGACTGCTCCTTCTCCTTACTGGTCCTAATTAGTAAGGCTTTACTTTTTTTTTCATGGCCATAAAGATTTCTTCTTGGTCCCATGGAAATAACACCTATGAAGTTCTACTGCAAACATCTCCTTTACAACATATAGAAAACAAATGAGATCAAACATAATATCAGATATTTGTTCAAACTGAAATATTGGTATTCTCACCCTCCAATGTCCTAAAAAGACTGCCTCTACACAGAACATCGGGCTCATAACAAATTACTCATGATAATTACATTCTCAAACCACTGGCCAGCCACGAAGACCCCAACTTGCCATGTTCAACACTTCCCCTATCTTCACAGTACTACTATTGCTCCAACCATGATGGAAATGAAGAGTTCGGTGACTTAACCTTGATGTTGAACTGCTTCAGTGTTGCTTCCAATGCTGTTTGGTTGCCAGAAAAATATGCTGACACAGCATTGTGAAACAGCAGCAGTTGTTTGTGCATCACCTTGATCTGTGAACACATGCAGAATGGACAAGTGTGTCAAGTTTTTCAGACAAGTCTTGGGTTTCAACATTTTTAACTCTAATAAACAACCACGTGAATTGAGCAACCCTTGAAGACAGCAACAGCAGCTAGTCTTAACTCTTTCTTATCCTGCCAAAAGGCTACCACTACCAATTTTATAAAAATACTACTGCATTACAATCATGTGCTGGAAGAGTTACATTTTTTGGCATCTCTTTGAGAATTCACACACAGAACCAACAGGCAGCACAAGTTTTATGTTTTTCTTAACCCTCTGACAGCCAAGATCAACCATAGAACTACCTGCTAGTAATCCACTTCTTGGGGCACATTATTTCCTCACATGACTTCACAAGAACACAGGTACAAATCATACGAAAGCTTGTTCCTTCCTCTATAAACATTAGTATATCATATTTTATGCTATCTATCAACGGGAATGCTGTACTGACTGATTAACAATGAGCCGCTGTCTTCAGTTACCCTGATCTAGTCAACCCATCACATGCAAAGGGTTAACAGTCTGTACACATGTTTTCGTGGTGTTGACCCACTGTAGAGGGTAGAACTTAATGTAGAAATTATAAGGATGGGAAATAATCAAAGATGGAATGCAAACAACTAACACCATGGAGCTGAGGCCTTCCTAAGAAGCCGCCGGTTGTGTAACTACTCAAGAATTTCCGAACATTTTATGGAACCCAAAGGTTAATTACAATGTTCGCAAGAGCTCTCCAGCGGTCCCTATAGTGAGCCAGATCAATCCAATCCATACCATCCCATCCTGTCTCTCTAAGATCCATTTTAATATTATACACCCACTTACGAATAGTCTTCCTAGTGGTCTTTTTCCTTCTGCCTTTCTAACCAAAATCCTATATGCATTCAGCTTCTCCCCCATTCATGCTGCATGCCCTGCACATCTCATCCTCCTTGACCTGATCATTCTAATTATATTTGGTGAACAGTGGAACAGTGCAAGTTATGAAGCTACTCATTATGTAGTTTTTTCAGCCTCCTGCCACTTCATTCCTCATTGGTCGAAATATTCTCCTCAGCACCTGTTTCCTAACACACATAGTCTGTGTTCCTCCCTTAATGTCACAGGCCAAGTTTCAAACCCATACAGAACCACAGGCAAAATTATAGTTTTTTATGTTCTAATTTTTACATTTTTGTCAGTAGATGAGAAGACAAAAGGGAATGCAAGCCACAGAAGTCTATATTGTAGTCAACAAATATTGTTCTGTATTTGGGAGAAAATCCATTCCAAATTCAGCTACATCAATTTATCGGGACTGAGGATTCTTATGGCATGCCTCAGTCCCTGTTAACAAATATCAGTATACTACGTTAAATAATCCACTAACAGTTTCTTCCCAGCTATCAGTCACAGTCCTCACATAACACAAAATACATTCTACAAATGACGTACTAATAACCAAAACAATTTACCCTGTTCTCATCCAGGAATTTGAGCTTGATGGAAACATCAGAGCGCAGTTTCTCAAAGTTAACTTTGTGGAGTTCGTAACTCTGCTGTGCCTCTTCAAGGCGTGCCGTGTTGACATCAGTTCTGGGTGCCTGTGCCAGCAACTCCAGATCTGTTCTGTAGGCATCATACTCTATCCTGCAAGGAGAGAAATGTTTCATGAAAGAGAGTGTTGAACTAAGGATTTTGATCATGTTGTCATATGCTATAATAATTATGAATTCCAGTATTGTTAATTTATTTATATTTCACTAAATGACTGAGATCCGTACACAGGACCTCTCACATGAAAAGTAGGTATCATAAACACTCATTAAATAAGACAGGTGAGGCTGTCCCTATGCTTAGGTATCAAGTCAAGGTATAGCTCCACCATTAAGCTCAGCACTTGATGGAGGTGATAGGTCAGCTTCACGCCCGCTGTTTTACTCCAAGGGAAACAGCTCTGGTATCCACTGCATATGAGGTTGAGTGGGACCCAGAGTTGGTTTGGATGCTATAGGGAACAGAAAATTTCTTCCCCTGGATAGGAATTGAGCCCTGATTTCTCAGTCATTAAGCCTGCAGACTAGTCAGTATACTGACTGAGATATCCACAAATAAATAAATTCTCTGCATCTTGTAAAATATTTTATATGTAAGATGTCAGTGCCATTTCATCAACCAAAATGCTGCATATATTTCTTTATCCAGACAATGGATGTCAAAAGGAATTTTTTTTATAATGACATATTAAAATACTTGCTGAAGAGTTGCATACCTGGCTGCCTCATACTGACGAATGGTGAGCAGTGTATCTTCAATCGTCTTGTTACATAGTGTATTGACTGAGGAAACAAAGAAGTTGAGAGCACCCAGAAGAGTTTCACCATTCTTTGTAAGATTCCGCTGCGTCTCTGCATTATACAGGAATTCCTCCTGAAGCTCTGGAGATTTCTGTGCTAGATCTGAGAAGGCTTCACCCAGTGCATGCTGTCAACACAGCATTGATTGATATTCTGAAGGGATAACTAATAATTCATGATTAATACATTCCCAAGTAAGTCACTATGCACCTGAATTAATCTGTGACACAACAAAGCATATTCTTTAAATTAATGCAATATACAGTCTACCTTGTCATGTCTTGTGAAACATTCTATGACTGGGCACCACCGATACCAAAGCATGCCATCGGACATGTTCGTGAGCCAGTTCCATCCACTTCCCATTCTCACTACTTGTTTTCTTCAAATCCATCTCAGTCTCTCATAACAGAACCTGAAGGATCAACATTGCTACTACCACAGCACACCACAGTACATAATCCTGAGTCAATTCCAACCGCTTTCCATCTACTTTGTCTATTTCATCAGGATCCATCTGAATGTTAATTTCCTATTTTGTTCTTGGTCTTCCACCTGCCATTTTCAATTTTCCTCAACAAGAATTTAAATGCTTTCATTCCTTCTCCATGACCTACCCATGCTTCAGCCTCATAGACTTTACTTTACTATTCTAAATGATCTGAAGTAAATCTGCTAATGGTGCCATACACAGCATGAGACATGTCCCTCACCTGGGTCTGCACGACATGATAGAAGTGACTCGCAAGGGCTCTGGAGAGGCGCAGAACATTCGAATACTTCCGCTGTGTGTCTCGTAACTGCTCTATCTGTGCTTCCAATTCTGCATGAACACATCACACCTAAGTTAATGGCTGTGCATAATTCTTAATCTATTTAATGATTGCATTATTGATTGCATAGTTATATGGCACAAATTAAGTGGATGTTTGTGAATGAAACTAGAGAGCAAATGGCCATCTCCTATTTTTGTAACTGGCTTGGTGAAAGAAGATGACAGGGGAGGCCAATGTCACACTTCTGCAAGCCTATTGCATTACATCTGCCATATGACACCAGCCTGTGAACATGCACTGTTGTTATGAGCGTTTTTGCAAATTTGTTTTTCGCGTTGTCTGTGACGGATGGCAAAATCAAACAACATGTCTGCATCAAGTTTTGTGTGAAGCTCAGTAAATCCACTACTGAAACCCTTGAAATGCTTCGTGAGGCTTTTGGAGAATAGTCTTTGAGCCGGACAGTATTTATTGAATGGAATTCATGTTTCAAGGCTGGTTGAGTGTCAGCTGAAGATGATGAATGATCAGGGGGACTACCCACCAGCAAAATGACAGAAAATGTTGAAAAAATCCAACAACTCATCCATGAAGATCATCACCAAACAATCCATGAGCTCGCAGACACCATTTGAATCAGGTATGGAGTTTGCCAGGAGACCTTAACAGGAAATCTGAACATGCGCCGCATCACTGCAAAGTTTGTTCGCCGACTCATGACAAATGATCGAAAAGCAGTGGCTTGTAAATGTGTCTCTTGAGCTATGAGAGAAGGCTAACGAGGACCCAACTTTTATCTCTAGGTTCATAACAGGTGACGGAAGCTGTATTTACAGTTATCATAAATAAACAAAGCAACCACTGTAACAGTGGAAGAGCCCACAATTACCATGAGCAAAAAAGGTGCGGCAGGTCTGAGCTCAACAAAGAGCATGCTCATTTTTTTTTGTCTGTGAATTGTTCCTCCTAACACTATGGTCAACTCTGACTTTTACTGTGATGTTTGAGACACTTGAGAGAAAATGTCCAGCAAAAAAGACTAGAACTTTTGTGCCACCACAACTGGCTCCTTCAGCATGACAATGCACTCTCACACACGTCCCTGAAAACCACTGAGTTTGTGACGTTCCCAAGGAGATTATTTTGAAGGAGATAGTAGCCTAGTCTGGGAACTTTCCAATAACCACCAAAAAGCTGCAAAGAGTAAGTACATCATGCCTCCAGGCCATGAACAGAAACTGAGACCTGCTGAATAAGAAACATGTATGGACCACATGCGTTGGAATAGCAGGAACTTGTATTTAGGAGGTGCTTGATTTGAATCTTGTTCAAGACACTGGTTAGCCTGACTGAAGTTTCTTATGGTTTTCCTCAGCCCCTCCAAGCAAGTGCCAGGTTACCACCTTGATAGATGACATGTATCCTTCCAAATCCTTTCCAATTAATCTGTCACCCTACCATCTGACGCTACAGAGAGCAGATAATGAAAGGCTGTTAAATAATCTACAACAAATTAAAGTACCTCAAATTAGGCTGTGACCACTTCTTGCCACATCCTCTCCATTTCATCATTCCACAGGGCTCCTACCATATGACATCATAAAATCTGAGCCACTAAAAGCACGCTTAAATAAACCATAAATAAATAAAGCATAACAATTTTACCCTACATTTTAAGGTCACAGAGAAGCATGAGGACTTCCTGAAAACCATTCTGTAATGATCAGGAAAAGATGTGAAAGGAGGTAAAAAGTAAAGGTATCCCTGCACCAGACAATCGGCTCATAGATGGCGGTAAGTTTGTCAGCCTTACATGCCGGTTTCCCTTTACCCCCAAGAACATTCCAAGAATATTCCTGGTACTCATTTCTGTTTGAGGCTGAGTCAACCCCAGTGCCATAGTGCAGCTAAAAGGATTGGGAAAATTGAAAAAAAAAATCCAATGACCACATCAGGATTCAATCTTGCAACCTTCCAGTTTGTAGCATAGTGCCTCAACCAAATATGCTTCTACATGCCCCCATGAAAGGAGGTAATCATTATTTATTTAAGGAACAATCCCAGTGCACACACTTTCACAGTATATGTCATCAGATCACAGCTAAATAATACCTGAACAAATAAATAACAGACTCTATTGAACACTGTCTTCTTTTGGTGGATGGGGACTACATTACGACTCCTGTCAGTAGTCAAAGTATATAGGGTCAAATGACAGAATAACAGATTGATTTGGAAGGAAATGGTCATAGCCTTAATTGAGACACAATCCTGGAATTTTCCTAGTGGGTTAGATGCTTTATTTAACGATGTCACCTGTATCGAGATCATCATAGCGTCAAACAGTAGGATGACTGAGAAAAAGAATTGGAAGAGATTTGGATGGAAGCAGCCACACCTTAAATAAGATACAATCCCAGAATTTGCCTGAACAGACTAAGAACTATTGCAAAACCTCAGTGAGGACAATGTCCCAACAAATATTTGCACCAAGAACTTCCTGAATATGAGTCTAGAGCATTACTGCTACACTCATCCATTCTTCGATTGCACATCGATGAATTTATGCCCCTAAAATTCTGAAGTGAGTGTGTTATGGTTTTATGTTATGACATATATCTTGTCCTCACTTACTCTATAAAAGAAAATGTTGGATGTTGGGTTTCTCTTGGTATGGAATTGTTGAAAATGGGACAATGTATTGTATGATTGATTTGTATGAAATCTGTACAGTCCATTCGCGGAGATGAGAGAGTCCTCACAGACAAATGCACGCGGTATCTCCTTTGTTCTTTGAATGAAATCATGCAGCGATCACGTGATGCATGTATCGTTGCAGGGGCGTCCAAAGTTCACTCCAGTCTGAATGCAGATTAACATGCGTCCGAATGCAGTGAGTACACTGAGTAACTGCGCGCTTTGTCCACTCCTTGCTGTCAGCTGTGGCGACTCTGGGCTTGCTTTGTTTATGCTAACTGTCTCGTCTCCGCGAATGGACTATAGGTAATTAAGTTTCATAGTATTGCTGACTCATGTATGATATGTATGTTATTTTAATAAGTAGTAATTGACTTGTTCTATATCCAGAGGTTGCATCTCCAAACATGGATTCTCAGAACAAATAAACTGATTGATTGAGTGATTGATTGATGTGTTATGGATGAAGAATGGGCACCTTTATGGTAATATGTACAGAATTTCAAAATAATTCTGAGACTGTAAGATAACGTGGTATGGTTTCATTCCTCTTCAACTTATATACTTCATTTACCTGTATCAACAGTCCTAGATGTCTTGCCCAGTTTTTCAAACATCAGTTGTTTCGTACATTTATATGTCGAAATACTCCAGTTCTTAATTGTTTCAATCTTGGACTGTTGTGCCTTTAACACTGTGGGATCACCATTTTGTGTAGGGCTCATGGGTGTTGTAGGAACAGTGGACGGCGCTGAAATACAACGTACATCACAGTTTCAACATAGCTACCTACACGGCAGAGTCCTTGAGAAGCTAGTGGTTAGTCAGCTACAGAAAAACTTTCTTGCCTTTCAGAGAGCCATATGGTTCATCATCATGCTCAGAACATCCCACCACTGGGACCTATCCAGAATCAAATAAATCCCTTTTACAACCTCCAACATCTTGTTTCTTTAAGATCCATTTGATGTTATCCTTCCATTTATGCCTACGTCTTAAGTTCAGGCTTCCATGATAGATTCTGTGTACATACATCTCCTCTCCCTCAGTAGTACCAAATGCTCTACTGACCTCACCCTACTTGACTTAATCGTACCAAATATTACAAATATTTAGTATGAAAAGTTCCGTCTTCTAGAATACAATGCCATGTAGTCTGCTGAAAGTCAACAAACATTTCAGGGGAATATGTCACCTCCATCTCCAAGGCTGAAGATGGAGGCAGTCTCTTTCTCCAAGACACTTGCTCACTTTTAACAGACTGTGCCACAGTATGGGACCCAGATAGCTCCATTAGTTCAATAACAGGCAATGGGCCAGAAGGCCATGGTTCAACTCCTGGCAGAAGCAAGAGATATTTCTCTACTCCACAATGCCAGTGCAGTTGTGAAGCCCATCCATCCTCCTATCAAATGGGTACCAGGGGGCTCCTTCTCCAGCAATATAGCAGACAAGACATGAAGCCGACAACCCACCTCATCTAGTGGTGACATCAAAAATGGTTGAGCTATACCTTCATTCTTTCAAATTTCTTCATGGCATGGTGCTTAATTATTAAGGCACATGGCCATCTTCACCTTAACTTTTTACATAGCATTATAAGGCAGAACTCTTCATAAACAAGGCTGTGAGAACCATAAATCCCACATGATACTTGGTATGTTAGATACAGTAACTCAAAACAAATCTTAGATTTGGCTGCAGGTATAATAGCCAAGTACTGCAAAGTTATCCCACAATTAACTATAACACACCAATGTATCTCACTATTTCAAGCATTCACTCTAAGTTAATCTAGTTCAAACGTTACTAACCTGTGGTTGTGGTCAATGGCAAAGAAGTGGGATGTGGTATATAACTTACACGCTGAGGCGATGGAGGTGCAGTACCAGAATGTACTGCATTATTACTGTCGTTCATGACAGGGGTGTCCTTTAGCATTTCGTGAATATTCCGTTCCACAATCGGGGTATCGCGACCCTGACTGGTTGATATAACAGCTTGAGACATTATCAAATAAGCAGGAAACTACCTCTGCAAAGACATTCGCAAAGAAACGTATTTATAACCTGAACTATGTCAATATAATGATCTCAGTGCTAATTACCTATTGTCCCATAATATCAGAAATATCACTCCGTGAAATACAGTTTCATTTAGATTACAAACGTTACAAAGAGTAACATTGAGAGGCTAACCTAACTTTCACTTCGAAGCGTAGAATACAAATTATACGAATAATTCCAATGTTCATACTCCCTAAATTAATTAAGTGTATTAAAATGTATTTTTAAATATATGGACAGAATAAATAACATTGGTATAAACTATAATTATGACAGAAACACTAAATAACACCCACCAGGATATTGACAATGACGTCATGCCACGCAAACTTAAAGTTCTTAATTTGTAACTAGATGGCAGTGGATACCTAGCAATGCAGCCAAGAACAGAGAGATATAAATGCCTCAAACGAAGTTAAACATTTCGGCTGCTACACTGATTAATCAGGATGACAAACTTCGGGATCTGAAGTATTGAATTTTGTAATGTGCTATGTGTCTTTTTAAATATTTGTAAACAGTATTCATTTATTTACCTGTTCGTTTAACAGCGTACTTTCGAGATGGACCCCAATGCATTGGATTTCGCATCATTAAGAAATGTAATATAACGTACGTTATTTTTGATGAAAGTGAAAGAAAAAACTATTGCGATTAGGACAGGCGTTTGCATTCCTCATATTTGATCATATTTTTTATTTTCAGTTCAAAGACTTCTTGCAACACTTCAATGTCATGTCCGAATCCTGTTTTCTGAGATGTGTTAATACGTTTAATAACAGAGAATTAACGGAGGAAGAGGTATTACTTTTTTTTAATTTATGATAATGCATGCTCTGGAAGTCCCAGTGTTACTTTCATCTTCCACGAAGGACAAAAGTGGAAAGACCTGATATTCTGTTCCTCTTCCATAAAAATAAAACAGTTATTGTTACTCCCAGTGTACGAATGGGAGGTTGATTGCAAGCAACAGATGTTGAAGCACAAGATGAATTTAAATTATTGCAAGTTCATGTACTTTATTCAGTGATAATACAATGTACTTGAAATATGCCATTAGCTGTGTACTCAATATTGGTTCAGATTTAGGGCTTCTGTAGTAATTGTAAATCTGAATCAGCTTACCAGCCTCCATGAAAGTTTTCAAAATAACAGAACTGGTTTTAAGGAAGACAGCTTTTCCCCTCAGAATTATGACAAACCAAACATCTTTGTCTATTCATAATATGTATGTATTAACAATCTTCAAGTGCATACAATGAGATAATAGGTCTAAATACATAAACTTTATTATTATATAAAGATGTATACAAATTTAATATTATTTGTAAATGGACATATAAGGGCAAGCAGTGAAATAGTTGACGGATCGATACACCAGAAGATGGCAGCATACTGCTGAAGCATGTGGTGTAGAAGTGGTAAATGGGATTGGAAGACTGTTAATACATACACATCATGAATATGAATCAGTGCGACAGGACAATAAAATACAACATCTTTGTCTATGTAAACTTTGCCTGTAAGATTTCTGAGGAAATCATAAAAATCTGTAAATATGAATGTATTATTTTCCCAGGCTCTCTGTGTAACCCAGTGTGCAGATAAACATGTCAAAGTCAATAAGAAGGTGATGGAAGTCTACATTGAGGTTCAACCACAGATTGCAAAGAAGAGGATGGAAGAAGTTGCTGCTCTACAGGAATCATTGGAGAAACAAAACAAATCTTCAGAACACAGTGAAGGAAGTGAAACCAAAAAAAGTTGATGTTTGTTGACACATAATACCAAAGAATTCTGTATCAGAAATAGTATGTTATAATCAGTAGGAATACTGTAGAATATGTCAGAAACTGAAATTTGTCTTGTAATATTCATAGGCTTGCCAGGAAGTGGGAAGACTACACTCTGTAGTGCCCTTGTTGAGTATCTTAAAACTTCATGTAAAATATCAAACGATATTGTACAGCATGCCATACCCATATGTTATGATAGAATGATACCGGCCAATGTGTTCAGATACCAGGATGACAGCAGTCAGTGGAAGGAAGCTCGTAGGGGCATTGTAAGTTATGTAAAAAATCTTGTCTCTTATTTGAAAGGGCTGGAACAACAGAACACAGTGAACAGTTTTGAAATATCTGTTAGAGAAGAACTGTTAAAAATAACTCAGAGTGAGAAACGAAGAAGAGTGTATGTAATTCTTGATGATAATATGTACTACCGCAGTATGCGATATGAGTACTACCAACTTGCCAAATTGTACAATTTGAGCTTTTGTCAGCTTTTTGTCCACTGCAGTGTGAGTGACGCTTTGAACTATAATTTGAGTCGGGACCCAGGTATGACTGTACCGGGAGAAATTATAACAAGAATGGCCAAGAGACTGGAACCCCCTGACAGACAGAATAACCCGTGGGAGACATATTCACTCACAGTTCCTTCTGAAACATGGACAGTCACAAAAATAAAGGAGATTGTTCACTTTCTGAATTATGTTTCTGAACACCCTGTTGTGTTGCCCCTAGATGACTTTGAGGTGCGCCAGGAATCAAAGTTAATCTGTTCAACAAATGTGATCCACCAAGTGGATGTAATGTTACGGAAAATTATAGGGGACAGGATGAGGGGAGGTAAAACCAGTTTGCAGCAAGTTGAACTCCAGGCACAGTCTAAAGTATTGGCTGACAAGAGACGTCATATCCTTGAAGGAATTAGAACTGGAAGGATTCTAGTTCCAGAAGATATCTGTGAAGCTGTTGAGTTGGGTCAATCAAATACTGGGCAGAGTCTCCGAGATTTTCTGAGCAGCTTGCTTACAATAAGTTAGTAGGGTATCATATTTAAAGATGGTGTACTTCAATTTATGGTGTTATCATTTCTGCAATTCCAAAACAGTAACTTGCAAAAATAATGCAGGTCAAGTCACATATGAACTATGTAATTTGGAAGCAAAATAGTACTGGTAAATTATGCAAAAAAAAAGTGTACATTCCAGATTCCGAAAATTTTTTTCATTTGTAATGGTTATACGTATAACAGTTCTAGGTCCTTGGACCTGGAGATTACTTTGTAACATTCATCACCTTGGTCACCATAACAACATATGAAGGTTTAATACCCATTGTTATCATATTCCTAGTGCTTTTCTTATGGGGAAGAACTGGAGAAAGAAATTTACTTGAACAAATGGCAAAATTGAGAATTCTTCCATGTTTTTTTTCCCAAGGGAAACATATTTCATATTTACTGTGTTTTATACAACTGCGTGTTTGGAACAAACAGGATGACACAAGACAGATAGATGGGCAGACATTTTGTCTATGGATACTAGCGAAATACCAATTGAAAATTCCCATCTATAACTACTATATCTACAAAGAACTTCCATTCATCCCCACTTGCATTTTGTAGCCATGAAATCTTTGAAGGCTTACAGAATCACTCTGAGATCATGATTTCAGTGAATATGGACACTATGAACATGGAAAGTTCTGGTGAGAGAGCTCAATAGAATAAGTGCAATAGTCTAGAGGTAAATTTTCTTAACAGATGTTGAGACTGCAATGCAGAGTTTTATTAGCAACTGAAAGTGTTTATTGCTTCAATTTTCTGCTTTTTTCATAACATTAGTTTTGTTTGTTTCCACACAAACACAATGAAAACATGCCCTGCTCAAGACTAATTGTAAGCAGACTGGAGCAGTCAATGGCTACTCACATGATGCAGGGTCTTTCATGTATACCTCGTTCCTCTCACGACTGTCAGATTTCTGCTTTATGGAACTCAAAGGCTCAATACCCATTACTGTGTTCACAATAGCTTGCCACTGGATCAAATCTTAAGACAGTTATATCCAGTTCACATTCTCACATTTCCCAAAGTTATGTTTTAATATTATCCTCACATCTGTGCCTAGTTTTCCTAATATGTCCTATTTCTTGAGATTTTCCAAGTGAAATTCTGTGTGTAGTTAACACCTCCAGCTGTGCCACCATCAGGTCATGTTTTTCAAGGGTTAACTTTGTATGACTAGTTCCTAAATATTGGCATGAGAAGACATTCATCTCTCAAGCGTACTGGATCTTACTCAGGCAGGCAGAGTAGCACAGTAATTTTTAAGTAACCTGTTTTCTTAACACTTGAATATCATTTTATGTATCAGTCACTATTCACAACTTTGCTTGTTAATCGAGTCTTTTACAGATTCAAAGTTTTTTTACATCCTTCCCTTTTGAAGAGCTATGGCAGAGTTCTTTATGAAGGTCAAGTTTTTACTTCCTTCCCCTTTGAAGACTTACACATGAGTGTAAGCCAAGCGTCATGACACTTCCAAATTTCAGAACACTTCTGTTTGCAAAAGTTGACCCCCTTATTACACTTTGATTGGTTTCAATTTAACATAAAGTTGGTCTTTAGTTTTTACATTGACCAATGAACTACTCGCTCTACCACTTGGGTATCATGTGTCTAGAATAGCTCATTATTTTTGCATATGGTCTGCAATTGCTAGCTATCATGTTACATGACGACTCCAGAATGCTTGTTCTGAACACGTGCAATCAAAGACTTTTACACTGCAATACTATGTTACATGTTCAAGGAAGCAATTCATTTCTGGTGCCTATCAAATGATAATTGTGATATCATTCCTTAAATTTGTAAACTGAACTAAGCAGCAATGGCCTTTGTGTCCTCTCACTTGCTGACACATGTTAATTACAGTTCTTTGGATATTCCTCCTTAGGTTTGAATGATTACACCCTCCATCCAACTTCCCCCACTGGAGCCACTAAGGCAGTACAATTCACTAATGTCTTAAATTTGACTGAAGAAACACTGAACAGGCTGAACTGATGGTAGCACTCTAGACTTTATTTGATAGGCACTTAGTTCAAACCTTGGTTAATACATTTGTGGGATGTTGGTTCTGGTACTTGGAGAGAACCATGTAAATTTCTATAACATATTTATTGCTGTTAGAAGAAGAGCTTACACACGAGCAGGCAAGCAGAGTGTGGGCTAAATGGGCCATAACTTTAAGGCAGGGCACACCTGAACGCCGGTGAAGCTCCAGCCGCAGTGGCCCTCGTTTGGCAGTCATGTGACTGTGAGCGGCCCATAGAGCAGTAAGTGCTGGTGGTGGACTTTCCAATGGGTCTAGGCAACCGCTCTCAGAGTCTGCTGACAGTGTTGCTGCTAGGAGACTCGCTGTTGCTGAGCTGTCTCAATGTAAGAGTAGCTCCGACTGACTGACTAGTATGATGTGGTCTGCATCTTTGTCCACTATTAACTAGCAGTGCTCAGCCCAATGGGTGTTGGAGCTGCCAAAGTCCATGCTGATTGGCTAGCACATGCTTTGTTCTGCCAGTTGACTAGAAGTTGGTAGCTGGCCTGGAAATGCGTTGTGGTAGGCTCCCACACATTGGATACTCTGACTGAGGTTTTCTGTTGTTCTTTTCCATCCTTTCAAGCCAATACTGGTATAGTACTTCAATTAGATCACCACTTTTCACTTCCAAATTCTTTTCAGTTCATTATTCATTCTTGCTGGATACTGACAGCTTCATAAAACAAAATAAATACCATCCCAACAGTGTTTTTTGAATCTGTGAGTTTTCCACAGGTTTCACCATGTATAGTCATAACTCAGTGACACTAACCAAAGCAACGACTGATAACAGGCATAAGGTAATGTCAGGTATTATGCTTATACCGCCTTTTCAGTGTAAAGATTATATACACTATCTTTAAATTATTCTTATGGATTAGATTACACATTTCACATCAGGCAATAGGGTATTTATTAATACCAGTATTACAGTGAAACATTCTGAACCATCCAACATTTTAAAGTACAATTGTAATTGTATATACCACTTATTTCGACATTAAACTGTTTATTTTTGTAATGGAGAAGAATTTTATGCTTCACTGGGCTAAAGCAGCCTGTTTTTATGCTGTATATTTATTTCACTACTCTGGCTTACAGTCACTGGTGATCAGGAACCCCTGCCCAATATGCTGAACTTTAACTGACTGTATCAGTGATGTAATCTTACAGTGTAATGTCTTCACAGACATTCCTGGTGCACTGATCTTCAAGACTTCATGACAACTGCAGTAATACCGTCAAATCCTGGTACTGTGAAAAGATACAAAATATATTAAATCATGAGTGGGGTCCTGGTGATGTCAGGATAAGATTTATGTTCTCATTCACAGGGTTCCAAGTGTGATTTCCAGTGAAATTTTCTGCTTCATTTCTACGAAAGATATGACTGTTAATGTGAGAATATCACCCCCCCTCCCCAGTCCTCATGGTTCAAAGCCCATGTTAAGGTGTACATCCCCTCTGCCAACAATCATTCTCACGACTACCATATCAACGGGATCACGGAATCTGCCCTTTGGCTGTCTTAACTTCAGAAATGGATTCTGTATCATTGTAGGCAGAGGTCAGAAGGGTTTACTTTGACCACAGCTAGAGGCACAAGGCAAGAATGTACAACATTATTGTGTTTCTGGACATAATCCATCATCGTACTTTTATTTAAAACACATTGTTTAGGAGACTGGATTCTGTCTTCAGATGGAAAGAACTCAGCTGGGCCCAAATGATGAAGCTAATCCCTATCTCAGGACACCAACACAAGATAGCATATATATACTGTGACGTGCCGCCAGGAAACCCGGAAAATAATATGTCCATCGATGGTCAACGGCTAGCAATTCCTAGGAAATCGCTGTCCCGGAGATGAAAGTCTAACAGTGGGGTTTCCACTGTTATTTGTAATGAACTGTTTGAGGCCGTAAACATGTATTCCCACAGCAACAAGAGATCTGTTGCATAACATCGGGCAGAACTAAACCCTTCGACAAGGTGTTCCCTATTCAGCCCAAGTGCAGGATATAACAGTCCAACTTCGGCAAGAGGCCAGTTTGTATCTGACAAGAGACCAGTAGAGTTCATATCCGACAGGAGCTCAGTTGGTTCATATCAGATGAGAGCTAAGGACAGTTGAGCTCTGAGCAGAGCGGAAGACACTTCACCAAGATTAGTAGTACAAGAGTGTATAACATTGAAGAGGAAACATCTGAAGACATTATAGGTGTGAATAATTGTATTTGTGAGTGCAAAGAGTGATTGTTCAATAAATATTCCTCCAAATCCAAGACCCAAGAAATCTGTCACATTGCCTAGGAAACATGTGACAATACCAAGCACAGCATAAACCATCTGTAAGAGTTAAGATAGACATTAAAATCATTAAAACTCTCCACACATGAGGCCTAGTACCTATGTCCATGCACTATTTCACAGCTATAGTCAAAATCAGAGTACTCTCAGAAGAGAAGTCATCAATAAAGAGACAAATTCTCTGTATGGTACTAACATAAAAACACAATTTTCACACATATCTACACTGGACAGAGTAGCGGTCTTTGACTTCTGCTGTGATAATGGAAGTCCAGATGGGAGAGAGATACAAACTGGGTTGACTGATCGGACGATCTACCAGAAACATGTGGGTGGATTCCTTGTATTTCCATGGAGCTGAGTCCTTCTTGAGAGGCCAACAGCTGCTCAGTCACTTGAGAATTTTTTGGAATGTAATGAAATCTTAAGGCTCGTTCCGCTCTTCGAAAGCTTGCCACTGAGCTGTCTTGAGGCAGATGAATCTAGTCTACACCCTCACATCCTATTTTTTTTATCAATTTTAATATTATCCTCCCATCCGCATTTAAATCTTCCTAGCAGTCTCTTTCCTTCAGGTGCTCCCAACAAAATTTTGTAGGCACTTTCTATGTTCTTCCTTTAATGTGAGAGACCAAGTTTTACACCCTCACAAAACTACAGGCAAAGTTATAGTTTTGTGTATTTTAATCTTAATGATGGCCTACCCCTTTTAGTCTCCAATGGTAATCTCATAAGTCTAATGCTTTTTGCCTAAGAAAGAAAAGTAGACTAAGAGAGGAAAGAATCAGACGCAGAAATGTACTTCTGATTGTGCATAAACATCATATCTGAATGATGCATGGACTTACCTCTTGCTCCTTCTCCATCTGCTCTACTAACAACTTGTCTAGGATATCTTGGAACCTCTTTCGTAGTGCATAGTTCTCAATATTGGCAATCTCCATTTCCTGCTGTTGACGTCTATTCCGCAGATCTGCCAGCTGTTGCTGAAGAACATCTAACTGGGCTCTAATACTTGCTACAGACAAAAGAGAACATAGAAAGATTTTAAGTTGTCATAGTGGTGACCATTAAGAATACTACGTAGTGCACTGGAAGTTTACTGATGTTTCTGAGGAACATACTACCTCCATCTTCAGGGTCAAAGAGTAAGCGAACCAAGGAGGAAGAAGAATATGATTTCAGCCTCAATCACCCTGAATACAGAGACTCCACTGTATGATGAAACACTGGAACAACTTCAGTACATGATGTAGCCAAACCTCAAAAACTGAATTTACATAAAAGAAAACAAGGTTCAGAAGGTGCACACTGTATCATGTGTATATTCATATTGTTGTCTCTGTTATTTGATGGACATTATCAACAAGAAAACATCAAACAGCCTAGTGTAGTGTCTAGAGCATTTGGGAGGTGCTGAGTTCAAATATCAGCCAAAATACCAGATATTCAGGTTTTCTGTGGTTCTCAGTCCCTGAGAACACAGACCAAGACGGTATCTTCGTAAGGCCACAAATGCTTCCTTCAAACTCCTTATCAATCCATCAATAATCCAGTCATTCGATGCTATATAATCTTGACACTGACATCATTACAAATCCATCACAAGAAAAATAAATAAAAGGATATTATATCAAATATTCACATCATTAGTACCTACAACTTCTGATCTGCTAATCACATGCCCCACCCACTCCAATCTTCTCCTTTTAACGTCCACTATCAGATCAGAGGATTTATATAAGACCCTCAGTTCTTCTTGCGGTTTATTTTACAACACTGTCAGTATCATGACTATAGAGCATAGAATGATAGGATGGCAGATGAATGATGAACTGGAAAGGATATGAAAGGAAGTGGTCATGGCTTTCATTTCCCTGGAGGGATTGGGGAAAACCATAAAAAACCACAGGACGACTTGCGTCCCAGCCGGTTTAAATTAAGCACCTCCTGAACATGACCCAAGAGCTACACCAAACCATTCATCTGCTCATTTTTAATAATTTCTTACCAGATCAGGGGTTTTATGTAGTTCCCTTAGTTCTTAGATCCTGCTACTCATTATGCTTAATAATGATCAGCTATCGACAAGCATTATAGAACTTCTTCAGAAACAAGATCACATCCCACCTCGTGACATCTGTGGTGTACTGCCATACTCGGACTCCTCTGGTCTGTTCAACTCAGTCTTCAGTATATCGAAGTCAAATGTGAGCGGCTCTGTTTTAATAGTTTCCCGATGAGGAAACTCACTTGATTGCTGACTGAAATCATGCGGATGGGCTTGCTCTTGCTTCAGGAAGGTGAGAGGGGATATGCCACTTGGGTGCTTCCTCCCACCACGCTCTGGCATAAATATTCCCCGTGGACTGAACATCTCCTTACTGAACTGTGTCACCAGAGGTTGAGAGCGATTTGGACGCTCTGACACACCCTGGAAACAAATGACATATGCAAGGCTCCAGTCCATTATCCAAAGATGAGAAATTGGTGGCAAGGAAATTTTACCCTTGCTTTAAATGTACTAAGCATTTAATAAACAAATGGTTTAATAATTTCTGTAAGGTGTAAGAAACAAGTGAAAGAATATATTAGTCTTGTTCTCTGATCTTGATATTTGCTATTAGGTTACTAAATATCTGTATAAAGCAAATTGTATGGCTGTACAATTTATCAAGTGCCTAGTAGAATTAAGCTTCTGGAGCCTGAAATTCATCTCAATAATACTTAAAAATGAAGTTTGTACCTCACAGAGAACACAATACTTCCCTCTTCCCCAAGACAGAGCCCAACCAACTAATGTTGTTTAGGGAAATAATTCTGACAATAACATAAAACATATAAATACAGGGTGTTTCACGACTTTAGGGCATAACTGCAGGAGGTAATTTCCTAGGTCTTTGTGATCAAAAAAGTTCACATAAACATGTGTCCGATTTAGACGGTTACAGAGTTATGACATTTTAAACTCAGAATACAAGGTTATGATTACTGACAATAAACGGAACAAAATAATAAACCAGCATAATACATGATACATTTAAAGTATGAGTGTAAAGTTAACTTCGCGAAATTACCTTTAATTTGAATTTATTGGTGCTTAAAGCTGATTTTCGAAAATGCCACCGCTGGCTGCAACACAGGCTGCTGTGCGGCCGTGAACTGCGCCGGACATACCAAACCTCCCTGCCTTAGGTACCTCTCAAGTGTTGAGATAACGAGAGCGCTCTGTCTGTAGCTGGCTAAAAACAGCAACCCACCAGCTGACAGATGCAGTTCACACAAGGGCGTGTACGAGAATGAAAAAACGGTCATAACTCCGTAACCGTCCAAAATCGGACACATGTTTATATGAACTTTTTTGATCACAAAGACCTAGGAAATCACCTCCTGCAGTTATGCCCTCAACTCGTGAAACACCCTGAATACTGTATGGGCAAAATGCTTAACTTCCTTAATGCAAAAGCATATGGCACATACAGTAACTACTGCACTTTAAAGGTTAAGCATATTTCTAAAATCCTATAGGTTCTAATATGAAGACGAAGCCAGCAGGCTCTTCCAGCATGTTGGTACTATCATACCTATAGTGTCATATTCCAGAAGATTATGATCCAGAAGAAGACCATGGCATATCCTCCCCAGTCATCTGTAGTTCACAGAATGCATCCATATCATTCAATGCTTGGAAAATCTTAAGTGAAGAAAATTTATCACTGAGTTGATTGACTTTGGATCATTGAAACTGTTACATTAGAGAAAATCTTAAGCCAAGGAACACTAGTTGAGAGTACCAGTGTAGCATTGTTAATAGCCTATGAAATGTTTCCTATGTCAGTTGCTCACTGTCATACTTAAAGGCACTAACTTGTAAGGAAGCAGAATCCGATAGTCGACTGTCATCAGCAGACGGACGACTAGTCTCATCCTCCAGCTCCATAATATTGATGTTAGTTTCATCCTCTTCTGAGTCACTAACTGCCTCCCCAAAAATATCATGCTCAGCTGAAACCAATAGGTAATCTGATAGTATGGCACTCAACATATATAGTTCATACAATGATTGTGTTTTTGCACATTATCTAGTGTCCTGTTTTTATTTGAAACACAATGTTTCAGAGAGCGAATTCTGTCTCCATCTTAAAGTAAAAACCCATGCAGTTAGGCCAAATTTATAGAGCTACTCTCTATCTCTGGAGATGGAGACAGAATCCAGTCTTCGAAACATATTTTAAATAAAAGACAGAACAATGATAAGGTCAAAAAACACAATCATCATATTAATATACCATCGTCATAAACTTTTAGATCTTATACACAATTCACCTCATAAAAAAAAGGAAGGTATGAAGGAAAGGCACAATATACAAACTACCCAGCAACTTAAATTATGTGAGGGGATGTGACCTCCAGAAACATTCACTCACCGACATCAACACTGTGCTGATTGCTAGTTTCAAGTGACATGTCTCCATTCTGACCCATGCTAAGGCCTCCATTCTCATCTTTGATAACTCCAGCCTTCAGTTTATCATCATCCTCATTAATAACCTCCCACTTGACACTGACAGCATCATTGTCTACCCGAAGCAACCGCTTCACCTCTTTCTCAATCTCAGGAGCCTCCACATACTTCTTCTTCAATGTCTTGCGGAACCGTCTGCGGCGTGCATTTTTCATTGGTGGTGTGATACCATGAGGCCATAGGAACTTCTTGTCCACTTTGTTAGGATCCTTCTTCTTGGCTTTTACTGGCGATTCTTCATCTGTAGTTGTATGGTCATCCTCTTCTTTGCATACCAACATCTACACACATTACACCAAAAGAATTATGGACGATGTAAATAAGAGGTGGGTTTTCTGTATTAACATTAGGATATTGGAGCCGGGATAGCAATTAGCTATGGGCTGGACAACCAAGGGGTTGGAGTTCAAGTCCTGTTAGGGTCAAGAATTTTGTTTTCTCTGCATCGTCCAGAATGGCTCTGGGGTCCACCCAACCTCCTATCCAATGGGTACTGTAGGCTCTTTTGGGGGGGGGGGGACCGGTCAGGGCAAGAAGCTGACCGAACTATTACAACATAGCGACAGCAGCAATGCAGGGAGCAGCCCATACATACATCACATACTGAATAATGAGCATAAGCTCTGTAAGATGTTACTAAGATCATACTTGTAGAGTAGCACCTCAGTGACTCAGTGATGCATACATTTCCTTAAGAATCTTATGGTTGCCCAGCAGGCCAGCAAATTCTGCCCATTTTATTGAACTCAAAGGTTCATCAACATGTCCACAAGAGCCTGCTACTAGACCATAGCCCAAGTTGCATGAATCCAGTCCACATCCTCTTATCCCTTTTTCTAAGATTCATTTTAAAATAATAGGGTTATCACAGTTAATTAATTAATCAATCAATTTTTAAACTATTTTCTCTAATTATAAACTTGTAAATAGCATAACTTTGGTATAAATATTATCTGAATTTTTATATTTTTCTCCTCCCGAAGTGAGTCACCAGTTTCCTTAGGATGTATACAATCCATCTCTCCAGCAAGAAGTAATAGGATCATACAAGGTAAAACAAAGTCATCACTGTACTTAATTAAGCACCACACCATGAAAATGTATCAGCAGTAGAAGTACAGCTCCACTATTTGTGACCTCAGCATTACACAGAAGTGAGTGGTCAACTTCAAGCCCCAGTTTTTTTAACCCTGAAGAAATGGCTCCCAGTACTCACTGTACAGGATGATGAATGAGCCCCATAGGCAGTCTGGATGCTATGGAGAAGAGAAAAACCTATCACCCCTGCCACAAACCAAACCCCAATTCCTTGGTCACCCAGTGAAGAGCCTAGTCTCTATACGAAATGAGCTACCCCAGTTCCAAGCAGGTAAAGGGTATAGTATAAGCTCTCAAATGCGTGGGAAATTGTGAACTTCATTTGCCTATTCTGTCACTTTTGTACAGATGAAGTCCATTATATTATATTCTATAACCTTGATGAATGGAATTTCAGTGTTACTAAATGCTACAATGAAACATACCTGACATACATCAGCTGTCTTATAGAAGCTCTTGTTGTCAATAGTTTTCAAGGATTCAACTATTGTTGGAATATCAACAACCTGTAAAAATAAAACACAATCACCAGCTTCAACTACACCAAGCAAATTGGCTGAATTGGTTATGCTTCTACCTTGTACACAAGAGGTGCCCAGCTTAGTGTCAGCCAGAGCAACAGCTGACTGGATTTTTCATCAGTCTCTCCTGGCAAATGCTGATACATTACCTCAAATTAGGTGATGACCACTTCCTTCCATATCGTTTCTAATTTACTGTTCACTAATCTTTCTACCTTTTCACACTATATAGAATGAGCTATTGACAGCGCCATTTAATAAATTATAAATGCCTCATACCCCAAAATCAAAGTCCCTGGCCTTTTAAGTTTTACAGCAGACTGGTTGACCATCCGTGTAAAACGTGCACACATAATCACTTGAAAAACATTTCAGGGTTAAATGCATTAATTCACAATTAGGTAGCATCTTACCTTTGCATGCATCAGTCGATGGTCCACTCTAACTTCTCCATAACGCATGTCATTCTCAAGCCTTATCATTAACCTGTCCTTCAGATTAACTGAACCACTTCGTAAAGCTTCACGTAAAACTTTTGCCGGTTCCTAAAATAAAAATACAATTCATTGTATTATTGTTTCTTTATTGTTGCAGGCTGATTGTGTGAATGACAGTTTATTTTCTTCTGCTTATCTTGACATATTTTAATTAATGATTGACATGTTCTATATCCTATGGTTTGTAACCAGTTTTATTGGATCTGGAACTCGAAATAAATTACAATTACAGTCACATGAACTACAATAGCTATTCGAAACTAAGACTACAATTTAAATAAAAATTCAAAACTTTATGCAACGTAACCTACTTCTGGCTGTGAAATTCCTCAATATCAGTTGTACTGTTTATACTGCCATACCCAAGCCGCCAAAATTACTTAAAATAAACGAAATGACGCAATTTATAAAGACTGTAACCGCTGCTATCATAGACTGAAATGTTAACATGAAATACTTCATTTAGGTTATCAGACAACATACACGTGTTAATTGTACGTACCGGTGGTAGCCGTAAAATAAATTGACTCTCCAATTCTGCGGGAGGCTCCGATTCCCGTTTGATATCAGTATGCCGGTTCATTTTAGTTCCGCAACTAATTTCATAGTGTATATTTACAATAATATTCAGACGATTCAGACTATCCTACCAATAAGCTGACTCGACCGACTCAGCGGATTTCTTTGGTCATGGGTCACAGAATAGTGCTCGGGCAAGAGCACGGGAACGGCACGGTATACGTTGGCTGAAGTTGCCAAGGTATTATTGTTAGTGCATGGTGTTTGTTTCAGCAGATTGCACCGAATTTCAGTAACTTTTGAGTCTTAAGTGTATTATGGACGCACATATTCGTCATCAGTAGTTCTGAGAAGCGTAACATTTATTAGGTAATGATGAATATGCCGCCAATGCAACAGCAGGGACCAGGAGTGATGCCTCCAGTTCCTCAGCAACCAGGGCCTGGTACACCCCAACAAGCTCAACAGTTGCAGCCTCAAATTCAACAACAAGCTCAAGAAAAATTAGATAATATTTCTAAAGTGAAGTCACTTATGACTCCACTTCGAGAATCACTTGCTGTAAGTATATATATATATTTTATTGCTGGTGGGGTGGGACTAAGTTCCTTGTACTGCGGCCACCTATGGCCTATTGTACCAGCCCCAGATGATAGGTGAGGGTGACTGTGGAGCAGTTGGTGGAATGAAGATTAGCAGGGGAAACCGAAGTACTCGGAGAAAACCTACCCCAGTGATACTTTGTCCACCACAAATTCCACTTGACCAGACCCGGGATCGAACCCTGGCCGCCGCGGTGGGAAGCCAGCGACTAACCGCTTGAGCTATGGCTATACCCTCAAAGTATATTAAAAGGTTAATTTTGCAAGCATGAAAATACCACCGAATGTGAATCTACAAAATGAGAAAGAATCAGTCTTTCACGTTGCTTATTTCATATTTGCTTTCAGTTGACATTAAAAACGGCAGCCCAGATTCTACACCAAAATAGTTTAGTGGATGTTGGATCTTTGTAAGTATTTTAAACTAATGGAAACCAAGAAAAAAATATGAGACATTGCCACAGGTATAAATTGGGATTAGTGTGACAACTTGGTACCATTCTGACACCCCCTTATGCTGTAGGTGTGACACTATTTCACATCATGTAAATCTTCATCCGTTCCACTATAAACTTTGTGTTGGAATGGAAGAGGTAGGGTTACTCAATAGTGATATACAATGAATGCTGTTCTCGATTAGGTCAATTTATAAACTCTTCATCCTCTCATCTCATTTTGTGCTAGTGCCTGCAGGTGGTATGTGAAGTATTATAAATATATGAAAATGAAGAGCTAAGGGAGATATTGCCAGTCACGGTAGCCGAGCGGTCTAAGCAAACGAAGACAGTGCATGTCTTCGTTTGCTCGGAAGCCGGGATCATGGGTTCCAGTCCCACTCAGGGCATGGATGTTTGTGTGTGTTTTTCTGTGTTTGTCTACAGGTAGAGGCCTTGCAATGAGCTGATCACTCGCCCAAGGAGTCCTACCGTATATGTAAGATCTAGTAAACCGAAGTGAAACGGAGAGTTTCATGGAGGTAGGCCTAGGCCGAAATTGGGGCTGTAGCGCCACAGGGAAAAAGAAAAGGGAGACATTACATTTTGGGCATAAAGACCAGTACCTGCACATGAGAGGGTGATCAAAATAACTTCAAAAGTTATCACAAAGCGGTCTATCACATTATCCATGGCCACTTCAGAAGTTTATTTCTGAAAACAAGACCTTAAGGCTAACCTTAAAAGTTGCCCCCAGCAAATCCACAAATTTAGACAGTTTTGTTTTTAAAAGATTAACTCCTTGGTTCCATTTTGAAAATCCCACATTTTGGGTTTTGTTTTAAAATAAATATATAACAGCCTTCTAAGTTAGGCCTTGGGTTTTGTTTGTACAAATAAACTCCTACAGTTGGTAGCAAAAACATGGCAGACAACATGGCAGTAATGTTGAGTCACCCTTTTTTTTTATTGCTAGTGGGGTGGGACTAAGTCGCTTGTACTGCGGCTACTTTTGGCCTATTGTACCAGCCCCGGATGATAGGTGAGGGTGATTGTGGAGCAATTTGTGGAATGAAGATTGGCAGGGGGAACCAAAGTACTCTGAGAAAACCTGCCCCAGCGCCACTTTGTCCACTACAAATCCCACTTGACCAGACCCGGGATCGAACCCGAGCCACCGCAGTGGGAAGCCAGCGACTGACCGCTTGAGCAATGGCGTGGCCATGAGTCACCCTTTAGTACATAAGTACTGAAACTCATTGAAACTTTAACATGAAACTGTTAAAAACAAGCTTTGCCAAAAATTTATAACCTCATTAACTGGAAAAATTTTGGAAATACACCTGCGTTTATATAAAGTAACATCGATAGAATTACAATGTATGCTGTGTGGTTCTGCTGTATAGGGGAAATTTTATGGAAAAAGTGAATACTAATACTGACTCCAGCATACGTTCCACTGCTTCCATCTTCTGCCTCTGTTTGCAACTACTGTATAAGTATTTAGTTGAAAATGGAAGGTGCAGATTTAGTGTTTTTGTATGCATAGGTTTTTGGTCCAACAGGCTCTTTGAGAGAAGAGCTGTTAATTTTCCTTGTATGCTTTCTCTGTAAGACTCACTCGTCCTATTCACATTGACCCTGAAGATGAAGTCAGCATGTACCTCTGAAATGTCGGCAATACTGACCATATTTACGTGTTGCAAATACCCAAAAGCTGAATCCACATCAGCAGTGAACACATTTGAAAGCATAGAATCAATAATAATGCAGATTTTTCATACTATTAGGCCAGCTACACACTTTGTTGCCTTGCTTACAATGTTTAGATGTCTAACGACTATTTTAAATGGAAATTTTTGCAGGAAAGGTGTAGATGTTCCTGTGCCCCGCTTTGATAAGAACATGGAAGAATTTTATTCGCTATGTGATCAGATTGAATTACATTTGGTAAGTGCAAGTCTCTGTTTCATGGAATTGAATTTTTTTGTCCACATCACTCAGTATGGTTATTGTTTGTTACAGTTAAGATATTTTCTCCTTCCTTTGTCATTTTGTATGGTACCAAAAGCTTTGGAAAGATATGACTCTCGCTGCATTATCATTTTGTAGTCATCATATTTTTAAAATTCCTAAAATTAAAATTCATTTCAGTCATTAGTTTTTTATATATTTATTTATTATTTAACAAATGCTGCTAGTCTTCATGTTGTGTAAGTATGTATTCTTTGTTGTCCAAGAAGAGAGGCTTTTAAATCTGGACCAAATAGTGTTATGCTAGCACTTAGGGGAGAACCATCTCTCCTTGGACACAATACAAATTCATCCTCCTGTAGGTGTGTTATGACATCTTCTGGTGCCAGGAGGGCTGCACACTGATGCCACGTGTGTGTAATCTGAGAGTGTGTGATGATGGAGGGACTGCAGCACGCATGGATTAAAAGCTTTTGCTACGTTTTAAAGTACTGGCAACCCATATTTAGTCAAAACGTTAGGATGCACGGTGAGGACTAGTGGGAAGTTCCAGATTTTGGGCATTGGTCAGGGGTTAGCACCATTGCTTACCCTTCCAGAAAGGTATAAATTGTTGCTGTTTGATGACTGTGGGTGATTTTCTTCTGGGAGTGCAGTTAGTGAAGTCTCTGTTTCATCAGCCTTAAGCGATTTCTGAAGGGTCATTGTCTGGTTCAGATCCTCGTTAGGTTGATTTTTAGGTGTAAGCACTTGTGACAACTTTTAGAAAGTATGATACTTTTATATGTTACCTGGTAGATTTTTAGTTTGATAAACCTTGAATCAAGTGTNTAATAAAGGGTTAGAGCATGAATCCGGTTTCTTTATTGCCACACCTTGTAGATAATGCAGTTAATTTTAAGTTCATTTAATGATGTGTTTTGAGAGTATTAGTATTCTTTATACTTCATGTAGTCTTTTTAATAATATACTTATAAATCATACCTTAATCAGTTCAACCATTGGTATAGTACAAGCCTGTTCTCTCACAGATTCACCCTTCAGTATTAATGCAGGCAAAGGAAGGTGTGTGGGCATATCCCAAGCAGTAGTGGGTTGGTGTAGTGATAACACTGCACTTGTATTTGCAAGGCATTCAGTTTAAATCTCAGCTGGGGCACTGGCTATCTTGAGGTTTTCATGATTTTCCTCAGTACCTCCAGACATAAGGCAGGATATCATGGCAATTAGCCCATGACTGTTTTCTTCCAAGTCCTTTCTAATTCAACACTATAGACCAGATAATAGTAGTGTGGTATAAACCACAAAAAAAAAACAAACAAATCTTCTGATACTGTGGGGCTGATATGCATGTGAGTATCAGGAATCATCCTGGGGTAAAGGGTGGCCAGCTGGTGTGTATGGCTGAAACCTTACTGCCATCTGTGGGCTGATTGTTTAGAAAATGTGGAGGCCTCAACATCTCATAACCCTCCACGGTCTGTTACAGGGATAGCTTTACTTCTTTCTCTTTTTATTTTGTTTTTCTTTTATACTTTTTTTGGCATAATCTTGGGTTCTGTTTTTTCTCTCAGAAAACATCAATAGAGTGCTTGACACAGGGTGCAGCAAGCCAACGATACCTGCCACTACCTGTTGCCCTTACTCGTACCGATCCACTACCAAACCAAGAAGGTGCAGCATTGACATATCCACAGTACCTTAATACAGTCCGAGCTCAAGTTAGCTTTGCAAAGGAAGTTCATGATATGCTGGACAGTGCAGCACAGAATGTTGCCCCAGGAGAATAAATGTGCTCAGTTTTAAGGAACATCACTCTGTCGAAACTTCAGAACTGTTCATCAGAATATAAACTTCACAACTGGAAAACAAACTGCTTTGGTGAATTAGATTTCTTCCCAGTCACTGCTTATTGTATGGATTGTGATCTTCAGGGTTATGATACCATATAGTTTGATAGGTAGTTACCAGTGTCAGAGAGAAACCTGCTACCTTCATCTTATACCCTGAATATGGTGGCAGTCTATTCTTCCAAAATGCTGGTAATCACTTACCAGACCGCTGTGTCATAACTCAGAGAAGACCACACTCCATGAAAACCTTATACCTCATTATTTATTCATTTATTTCTTTATGTTTTATTTTAAGATACTGTTGGTATCTAGACTATTTACTAGTGGCATTGACTAACTATGAAGTACAGTTATTTGATGATGATGATGATGATGATGATGATGATGATGACAGTCACCAGGATGTTGTCCAGGGGAAGAGGGGAGCAGCCAGAAAATTTGCTTCTTATAAATTTATATTTAAGCCATTTAAGTACATTTTTACTGTCATCCTAGAGTACTGAGGAGAGGAAAAAATATTTTGTTTGAATTTTAATTTTTGGTATTAGTATTTGGTGTATTTCCTCAGTTCACCTATCTGCATCTCCTCATGCTNAACCCATAATCCCAATGTAAGTTTTGAGGCTTTCACGGCGGTGACTATGAAGAAAGCAGTCTTCTGGGATTTGGCACCGTGTATACACGGTGCCAAATCCCAGAAGACTGCTTTCTTCATAGTCACCGCCGTGAAAGCCTCAAATCTTACATTGGGATTATGGGTTCAGTTCTCATTCGAGCCATGGATGTCTGTCCGCATTTATTCTGTGTGTAGGTAGCGGCCTTGTGATGGCCTAATATCCTGTCCTAGGAGTCCTGCTGACTCTATACAGATTAAGAAACTGAAAAAGTGATCAAGGTTTCTCTTGGCTGTAGAGCCATAGATAGATAGATAGATAGATCTTCTCATGTTGTCAGCAGTAAGACTACCTGCATGGAGGACCAGAGTGATTTTTTGTTTCAGAGAACATAGTGAAATGTTTATTTGTGGCAGGAGAAGAACCATTTTTATCAGATGCTAAATAAGGAAAATGTATTTGGGAAAGAAAAACAGTGATAGAATTTAAATTCAACTCTACACATTTAGCCCTTAATAATCAGAATTCATGTTTTGATTCATCTTTCATGAATGAAATTACTGTACTGTTTACTATTTTGAAGAAATCAAGTAACTTGTTATATATTTAATTTGTAAGAAACATCTTGAAGATGCCCACTATCACATAGTGATGTAGCATGTTACTGTTATTTTTGTTACTTCCACGTGGATCGAATGATGAGTGAGAATCAGTGTTCACTCTACTCCTGCTTTATTAAGACTCTGAGATCTGATACAGAAGTACGCCTTGTATACACATACAGGCTTATAACCATAGTAACACATAACAATATAAAGATACTGTTGTTACACATGTAATTGTACTTACACATAACAGTAAACATCACTTAGGTAACAAGAAATAACCTAGTTCTTAAATTGTTTACTATGATGTTGCCAACTCTAACATTATATTTCAGTATTTGAGAGTTGCCAACATAACAGTTACATCATTAGAAATTTACCAGATTATATTTTAAACATACAATGGGAACCAAAATTGCCATGCCAGAGATCTTGTTACCTCTCAAGGTATGATATACCCTTGGAGATGTTTCAGACACTTACACAATATGTATTCATTGACCTCCATAGCCTGAGATTCAGGACTTAATAGTAACATGCACAGCTGTATTTAATCTTTTTTACTTTTGAAATCAATATTATATGGATTCATTATTGTCATTCCCAGATATCTGAATGTAACCCATATTAAAGAATTCATAACAGTTTGAATTCTCATCTGAGTGTTGTTAGGAAGATGAAGTCAAGGAGCTGCACAGGGACAAGTATGGATTATATATGCTAGTGATTTTGTTTTGTGAATGTACAAGTTTCCAATGTCTTGTTGGCTTGTTGACATGTTTTATATTCTGTGCCTGTGCACATTTGTGAATAATCTGAAACGCAAATGTATATGTATGTATGTATGTATGTATGTATGTAGTGTATATGGGAGAGATGAGGAGTATATATATCTTTCTGGAAAACCTGAAGTGAAGAGAAGCCTTGGAAGATCTAGGCATAGATATGAGGATAATATTAAAATTTATTCCAAAGAAGTATATTGGAGGGTGTGAACCGGATTCATCTTGCTTATGACAGGAACCACTGGGAAGGTCTTGGGAATAAGGTAATGAGCCTTTGGGCTTTGTCTAAGATGCAGAATGATCTAATTTCTCAAGGATTCAGGTCAGCAGAGTTAGCAGTCTAAACTAGTGGCCTGTATCTGCCCTATTCACCAGGATTGACTTAATACTAATCATTGCATGGCCTTTGTATATCTGTAACAGGTTTTACTCTCCAACAGGATGTTTATGGCTGCATTATCACACTGTCCGAAGTGTAAGGATATTCAAGTGCACTTTTAACGAAGTCAGGTTTGTAGGTCATGCATACGCTTATCATCGGTGAAGATAACACGGTTAATATGGAGAACATCACTGGAAGAGGTTCAGCTAGGATTTCTCTTTCTCATAATTTGTATTGGTCATATGTAAAACATTTACTCAGATATTTTTGAAATTTGTTCTTTGTGATTTTGCATGTCTTAATAACAGTGAATTCATAAATCATTTCTCCAGGTGTCTCTGTAGTATAACATCCATTGGTGTCTCCCCAGACATCTTTGCAAGTTGGGCAACCAGGTAGCAGTGATCATTAAGCATGGACAACCTATCACCTACAGTTTGTTCCAAGAGGGTAATAAAAATATCACTGAGATTTTGGATTTCAGAGGTAGGAATGGAATAGAAGGCAGGCACTAAATATTTCCATTGAGCCCAGCAGTTTTGTGTTACATATAATACATTAAAGGAATATAAAACTTTTACTATAATATACATTTATTTACCCTATACACAGTTTGAACTATGACAATACATGATGTAATATTCAACCCTCTTCTCTGTTACTGAGACAGAGCAACAAGAAAACACTTTACTGGGACATATGATGTTACTGAATTTGCTCTTACATGCCATAACATGCTGCAGGAAAACTTCCTGATTTTGGAAAACAATCACAGTGCTTACCAGTTAAGAGGATGAAGACTGTAGCTAGACAGCCCATCTTACAGCTCTGCTTTTATTAGACTTATATGTTGTTATACCAAAGCATGTCTAACTTGTTACATCCTGCCAGAACTGCTCATATTTATAATTTTATACAAGCAAGCATGACATCATTAACATTCAGTTGGTAATGTTCACTTTGAACAATGTCTTCATTAACTGCCAATCACAGGCAGGCTAAAAGAATTTGTTCAGCATTGCAAAGAATGTGTAAAGTGCTGTAGTCATGTAGAAACAGTATGACTGGCTTTGGGTGAATGGCAGAATAGAATTCATTGATCATTAGGAACACTGTACACTGTATATTTAATATTTTAACATACAATTTTATATGTTGGCATCGAATAAAAGATATCTCCACAAATAAACATTATTTAATAATACAATAAAGGAAACATTTTAATAATTGAATATGTTAATGTTTTGCATATAGTTTTATGGTGGCATGAACATAGACAAATAACATATATGACTTCCCTAAATTGTAAATATTGGCAAATGTAGGGGAAAATAGTAGAAAAGTAAAGAGTGTAAATATTTTACTTGATGGCCACAAAGAGCCAAAACGTAAAATAATATATGAAGTTTATAAATTTTTGTTGTGATGGAACCAATAATAAGTCAGTGATCATTGTAATATACAGAGTGATTCATGAGGAGTTATTGCCACTTATGGAGCTCATTTCTGAAGACATTTTGAGCAAAAAGTGTCATATAAACCTGGGTCCTATACTCATTATTTACAGAGTTATGTTCATAATTTGAAGGTTTCTAAATTTTAATTTTAAATACAAAATTACGTTGTTTTAATGTATTTATTGTCACTAAACAAATTAATTCTATGGACTTGATTCTCTATAGTTCACTTTTGCAAAGTCTTACAGAGATTACAACACATATTAAAAAATTCCGCCCTCTGCTTCAATACACTTGTCTGGATGTTTGTGAACCGCGCACGTTGTTCTATGTAGGTGCACACTGTTATCTCTGATTTCCATAGCAGCATGCATGATGCGATCAAGTAGTTCCTCACGTGTTTGTGCCTTGCTTTGGTAAACAGTGTCCTTCGTCCATCCCCAAATACAATAATCTAATGGGGAAAGGTCTGGCAATCAGTTCACAGTAGTGTGTTTCCAATTATGAACGTAACTTTGTAAATATTGAGTATAGGACCCAGGTTTATATGACACTTTTTGCTCAAAATGTCTTCAGAAATGAGCTCCATAAGTGGCAGTAACTCTGCCTGAATCACTCTGTATATCACATTACGAAATGTGATTTGAGGTTCTTACAGCGGTGACTATGGAAAGTAATGTCTCTTTGAGTGTGATGGTATGTAGTCTGCTAGAAGTTCACCAGTAATCTGTAGGAGCATACTGACTCCATTTTCGGGACCAGAGAGTAGATCAAAGAAGTACTATTTGCTGGTTATCATATTTTCCATTTTTACACTGTGCATTTTCTAACTGTTTTAACTTCCTGCAGAATGAAGACATCACGGATTTAAAGTAATGTCTGTTTTTCTATATAGTTTACTCTGTGGTGAATCGTTAAGATGGAGAGAAAATATGAAGACGTTTCACAGGCTAGTAATTTATGTAAAGCTTATAAGACAGTAAGAATGTCTTTAATTGTCCTCTACGTTTATTTTATTTTAAGAATTCTCATTATGACCTTTTCTAATGAGAACTCATGATGATTTGGAATGCAGAAACTGATAATTCAATTAAATCCTTGAAACTCTCTTAATGAGAATTTATGCATTTGGCAATTGGAAAAGGTTAAGTTCAGCATTATGCAAGGCCTGTCTGCAATGTAGATATGATGAGTCAGTCACTTAGGATTCCACTTAAAATTAATCAGATTTAGTTCACAGAATGACTGAATGTGCTCAAAGTAGACTTTGAATACAGCTTTTATCCATGTTAGAATATTTGAAGGGTGGCACAGTCTGTCCTCATGTATATGAGGTCAGGAATGTGTTCCCTATCTTGATCAACCTTTTGACATGTATGAACATAAAGATGCATTGAAATCAGAAGTGATGCAAAGAGTATTGACATAAACATATGTTTTGCATGTACTGTCAAGTGTGTACTGCTAGTCTGCTTGGCCCAAAAGCTTTTAAAATTGTGAAAAATAAACCCACCATTTAAGATGCAATTTTCTAAGGGTCAGAATGTGCCTGGTGTTTTACGTCTTTCTTGTATCATAGGTTCCATTCTTATGGGTCAATGAACAAAAAATCTCAAATTTCTTCTCACGATCTCTCCTTTTCAATTTATTGCCAGCTTTTTCCTCTCTTCTTGATGTCTTCCAGAACCTGAGTTAACAGTTTTGTTCTGGCTCATATAATGGTTCTGTTTCCTTTAAATTTTTATTCTAATGTCTTTCTTAGTATCCTTGTTTTGTCCCTTCTCTTTGTATGGCAAGACCAATGTAATTACTTTTCTTCTAACTCTATTAACAAATTCTGAATTTCAACTTTTATAAAAATGTCACTCCTAACTTTATTCATTCTTGCCCCTCCCTCATATTCTTACAGTTCCTTATCCATTGGTTGGCTTTTTATCTTGCTACTTCAATACCATTTAATCCACACAGCTTACTCTTATACCCTGAAAACGGAAGCAGCAGGTTCCCCCAAAACATTGGTTAATGTACACTAGATCTACTCAGTGTCACATCTCGGAAGTTGGTGATCATAGTCATCACCATGAGAGCCTCAGACCTCACTTTAATTAGCGGGTAAACAAAATAGGAGTAAAGCTCCTTTTCCATGAGCATTTGTAGCAGGTTTTAGTGAAAATTTGATTTAAATGGAGCTGTTTCCATAGTCATACAACTCATCGATGGTTCACTGAGACACGCTATAGAAAGTGGTGCACAAGTACTTGTGAAAGGAGCCTAAAGTAATGCTATATGTAGGTAACTCTCATAGCCCCTTCAATGCCTCAGGTTCATGTAAAAATTCAGTTTCTACATCATAGAGCAGTGTTTCTTAACTGCCAGGCCCTCCTATAGAAAGAATTTATTGGGCCACGGTTATAGAGAATATAATTTGTCTCCTTTACAAAGCCTAACCGCTTAATGCTGTTTATGGAGCTAATTGCTGTATTTTGTGAGAATTATATGACACACTATATGGAGAGAATGCAGAGATTTTATATTAATACATACAGTACAGTTTCCACTGTGCTCTGGAGGATTAACCTTCCAATATAAATCATTTATTTCTTACATATAGGAAAACATACCATATGGCAGTCACAGGCTGAATGTCTTTGCTACCTTAATGCCAACTGTGTCATTAATGAAGTCTTGAGTCATGGGGGTATATGTCTTGTGTGGAGGAAGAACCATTATCAAGAACTAGGTTAGATTAGTTTCGATTAGAATTGTCTGATGTGTTCATCCTTTTATTGCCACATCCTGATCTTGGCTAGTGCAGGCTGTAGCACATTGTTTCATACAATTAATTAAGCACTATGCCATGAGGATATGGGGGAATGGAAGTACAGCTCCATGAATTCTTAACCTTGAACTACGTGCAGGTGAGAGGTCAGCTTCATGCCATGACTACTTTACCCCAGGGGAGAAAGAACCCATGGTACCCACTGGATAGGAGGCTGGATGCTGAGCAGGGAAAAATCTCTTTCCCATGTCAGGAATTTAATCTTAATTCTTCAGTCATTCAGGCTTTGGCCTAGTTACAATCCCAACTTAGCTCTTCAAGCTCCTGCCCTGGTCTGTAACTTTCATTATTTAATTTTTCTGATGTCTATGTTTTCACTGATAAACTTTTAAGTACTCTTCAATCTCTCAACAAACATTTCATGGTGTTTCTCTTTTCCTGTTCTGATGACTGTGAACTAAAAGAATATGGGGCAGTCTAATTAAGGATCAAAAATTGCAAATAACCAATCTGGTGAAGGAGACTACAAAATAAATCCAGCAAACAACACAAATATTTTTTTCAAGATGCTTTAATATAAAAAAATCAGTCTTGTATAATAAAACAACAAATTCCATATCATAAAACCCACTTTGGCAACATAAGTATGTGTTATCTGAATTAACATATTAAACATGACATTATGTGTACAATAATATTCAAAACGAGAGCTAACATTGTCAGTAATTCAACAATCTCTCACCTCAAGCGTCACTGTTATTTCATTTCACTGCCCATTTCCCTTCAAGTAAATATTTATGCACAGCTTAAGAATTTTTTAGTTTTATTTACATAAAAAGACTCAACTTCACTATTACCTTTTATTTATTTCCATCATAAAGTTAAATAACTACTTTTATGTCAGCCTTCAAAGAAATTCTTTATGGAGAAGCATCATCGTCATTTTTCGAACTTTGATTTTAATTTTTTCCCCCTTAATTTTATTTCAGATTTGGATATATTTATATTCCGGTCTCACTAGTGAAATGAGTATCATAGTCAAGTTTTTCTTACAAAACAAACATCAATCAATCTGAGACACACCAACTGCTAGCACCATAGCATATACTCCAAAGTGATGCAAGCTCAAGAAGATGTGTATTGAATTTCCACTGTCACTGTAGCTCATCTGCTGACATCGATCCAACTGACCAATTTACTGGAACACTGCCAATCTTGTCAGAGACATCAAAATTTACAGCTCTATATATGTATTCTTGTATTTAAGCATCCTGTTGCATTACTATATTCAACCTTGTTTACATACAATTTTCCGTCAAATAAGCAACTACTTATTTCTTCATTTGCATTTGCTTTCGCTATTAACATAACATAATGTCTGCACATGCGAAGACAACACTATACGCTGCTTGTGGGAACAACAGACAAGCAACGGGCAAAACTGTAGACAAAACATAACAATGGGCTTGCATATGGAAAGGGTTAGCCGCTGCAAGGCAGACAACTGAAGAAGGGTATATTGCTTAGACAAGTGAACAACGCCATTGTGATGAGTTTTATATAATTAAAAATGTAAACGATTTTAACTGATTTTAAATGGAGTGAACTGTAACATGCAAGATTTTAACGCACAACAGGTAGTACAATTGTAACATTTTAATATGAAATTTTCAGTTATGCACATGTGAAAAGCACAATATTCAGTGCAGTGTAGCAGGGTTGGCATAATGAGACACCTGAAGATGAAACATGTTCTGTTAATAGTGAAAGCAAATGTCAATGTGAATGAAGAAATAAATAGTTGCATTACTGAAGGAAAATTGTATGTAAAGGAGGTTGTCTATATACATAGTTAGGTTCAAGAACTGAGGGAATTACGGCTGGAAGATGCGGGTAATGAGAGGTGGAGGCAAAAGGCAAACAACAGAGGACAGACGTACATCATATAGGAAACTGAGGATTGTAGAGCCAAGGATTAAGTAAATATGAGCTAAAATTGAATTGAAATACAAAGTATAACATTTTGACTGAATATTGATCTGAGAATTTTTAAAATACTGGATTCTGACCACGTGAACTTTACAAAATTCACAGCATGCTCATTTATGTAGGACAGAAAATTAAAGAAGAGTTCTTATTACACTAAAATACAGCAGTCACTAGAAACAGGTGTAGGAGGAAACCCCAGATAAACCTGGGAGAGTATTCAGAACATACTGAGGGATAAATGAGCATGATGGAAGGAGGCCAAAATTATAACCAAGCATCATACAGACCTCCCAAAGAAGTATCAACACAGTGCAAGATTTGAGGCTTTCATAGCAGAGATTACATATGTGTCACCATGTAGTTTGGTACATACACTACAAGGCTTCATTTCCCAGAAGACAGATTGGGTGGGGGTGGGAAAAACGGCTTTATGTAAGCCTGCAGATCATTCAAGGTCAAATTATTTTAAACCATAATTTGAAGTATGTCATCACAACATTATGACACAGACACTGTCTTGTGTTCCTCTTCCACAAGACCATTACATAGTGATGGGTCATTAACTTCAGGTCTCAAATGTATGGCCGAACTCAACATTAAGTCCTGTGAATCTGAGCAAACCTTCAACATCGATCCACTTGCACTGTTCAATGAATTTACTGTAAAACAAATTAACACTGTTCAGGTGGCCATTCCAAGAAGGAGTTCCAATCCTAGACACCTGCCCCATTTGGTGGCTTACTCCTAACAGCCACACTGCATCAGTCATCTAGGCTTCATGAAAAATTTGTACGAGGAACTGCATACCCTCTTGGCAATGTTGTAGCTGCAACACAGCAGACACCAAGATTCAGTTCTCTTGTCAATGTTCATGTGCTTCTTGGTTATTTTGTAACAGATTATACAGTAGGAGGTGCTGGAACTTACTGAACTTTGAACATGCATATTATCATTGTCAGAAGGGTGGGAGCTGGAAACAGGCATGGATTGGATGGCACAGGTATTTAGGTATATGCTTTTGATGCAGCATATACTTTACATTTAACCCACTTATTAAAAAGGATGGACTAAAATATTTTTCTGCGAGTTTCAGTAGAGTTGCATGGAGTTTGTGAGTCACAGTTTGGCCATATCTGTAATGCAGCATGGGAGGATGACTGAATGATAAACTGTGCAGGATCTGGTAGGAAATGCTGATTTATCCTGAAGATTCGTGCTGTGTTTGTTCATGTATCAGTTAAAGAGGTCAAATGCCTTGTTACTGTTTACACTGTTTCTGAAGTCTATTAAAGACACGTGTAAACAACATAATATGCATACACAGTAATTAATTCGTTTTGTATTTACAAACCTTATCACCACTGGGAGTGTGGTAAATAATATAGAAGGCATGTGATGTCATATATATTCTTTACTTTTTAAGTATCTGAATTCAGTGATACATTATTCACTACAGCTGGAATAGCTGAGCCAGCATAGTGATGGGATACTGGTTAGGTGGCCATGGGATCAGGGTTCAATTCACAGCAGGGACAAGGGATTTTTCTGTCCTCCACAGCATCCAGACTGGCTCTGGGCCCACCCAGGCACCCATACAATTGATTCAGGGGGTTCTTTCCCCTAGGGGTAAAGTGGCCACAGGGTTTGGCTGATCAATCACCATCATCTAGTGCTGAGGTCAAGAACAGTGGAGCTATACTACCACTCCTCCATACATCTTCATGGCATGGTACTTAATTAAGTAGTTTAAAAGGAATTCATTGGCACTTTCTCACTGTTCACTGACTTTCATGTGTCTTAAAACATTAAAGTATCTTGTACTGTAGAATGATGTGTACAGAAGATTAACTTAACACACATGTAGTTGTAAGCAATAAGTATAACTTTATAATAAGTGTAAAGATGGAGGCCTCATTAATCCTTTAAATGTCACACACAAGATATCAAGCTTTGAAGCAATGACACATATATACTGAATTTACTTGGCATTTTAGAAGATCAGTGAAAGAAGGTCTCCCGTACTCCCCCAACAGTTCAACAAATATTTTCAGATTTTTAATAATGATAATAAAATATTAAAATGGAAATACTATATTATATTTACAATATTATATTTCAGCATCCTGTTACACTTACTATATCTGAGAAAAGATAGTTAAATAAGGAAATTGCATACAAGGACTTAAGTACCACATCATAGAGCCATATGGGGGAATGGAGGTATAGATCCACATATCCTTAACTTTGGCATTAGATGCAGGTGAATGGTCAGCTTTGTGTCCCAGCCACTTTACCTCCAGGGAAAGAACCCCAGGTATCCATTAGGTAGGAGGCTGGGTGGGCCACAGAGCCAGTCTGGATGCTGTGGAGATGAGATATAGCTCTCTCCCATTGAAAACTGAACCTTGATTCCTCAGTCAACCAGCCTGTAGTCTAGACACTATACTGACTGAGCAGTACCAGCTCACTATTTGCACTAAAGATGTGTGATGTAATAAAAAAGTAATTTCACTGTTTCAGTTCCAGATGTAAGATAAATCTGGGCAGTGATTGGAGACTCTGAAATAAAACCTGAGATTCAGACTTGTGAAGCCTAACTGCTCTGTGAATCCCAAAATCTTTCTGAACTGAATCAAGAAATAAACAAAAGTCGCTTTAATATAGGGGGCAATTAATTCCAGATTCATTTACAGCAAGCAGTCACTGCCACGTTTATCAAAACTGCTGGCACTGAACCATGAACAAGACAGATCCCATAGCTTGAGAATTAATCCGTCCAGTACACTGTTCATAGGACAAAAGGACTTCTGTGTGTACAATTACAGGCTAGTGAATACTGCTCAAACATCTCAGAAATGTTGAGATTGCCAGTCTTCTGGGAAATGATGCCATGTAGCTTTGTACAAATGTCAAATGTATTTATTTATAGTTTATTTAATAAAACCATTAGCAGCTCAGATTATAGTGTTCAATGAATGGATGATATTGAAGAGTGAATTGGAAAGAATGTGGAAGAAAGCAGTCATAACCTAATCTGCGGTACTATTGTAACACACTTGTCTGGAGGGAAAGAGAAAAACCATCACACACCTCACTCAGTTAAGGGTCCACATTGAGATTGGAACCAGGTTCCCGAATATACATCACAAGCAATACTGCTTGAGCCAACCTCCTGAGTGCTTCTACCCTTAGGCTGTGAAAATGGAGACTGTACATTCTGCTGAGATGTTGGTACACACACATATTAGACTACAGGGTGTCACACCCCAGACAAATGATTATCTCTGAGGTCGATTCTACAGCTAAACTGCAAAGAATTAACTGTAGGATAACAGATGAATGATGACGTGAAAGAGGTTTGGAAGGAAGTAATGTCCTAATCAAAACACTGTTGCAGAAATTGCCTGAACCTCAAACAGGATAGCTGGTATCCTGAACCAGTTTCAAAGCAGGCACATTCTGAATATGAGTCTGGAGTGTTACAGCTACACCAGTCCACTCTTGACACTCTAATTTTAATGCTCTCTGCTGTGAGAAACTCAAATCTCATATCTCAAGAACATCTGACACAAACTATGCCTTGTATGACTGGCTGGGCTCCCAAATAATTACTGCAAATATCAGCACACCATTTGGAAGTTTATGTTTTTCAGACATGAAGGACTGTCATTAGAGAGCATTACAACTGCAGCTAGAGACAAAATTCAAGACAAACGTGTACTGCAATCTTGCAAATAAACAACATGACAACCTTATCTCAGCAGAACTAATAGCAGTAGTATTTAAAATGTGCAATCTACATCACTTTCAAACAAACAAAATACCCAATTCTTTGCCCAGGATATGGTTCTTTTACCTGTCAATATCAAAATATGCATGGGCTAAAACTTGAAGGAAGTAGTAAGACTCAAATTAAGAAATTAAAATTTATTTATGTAATCCAAACTGACAATGGGAATGATGATTCGAATAGCATCCAAAATTCTACTGAAATACTCCCATACTGCTTTAACAGCTATAGCTGCAATATACAATGGCAAGGGTATGGAGTAAATTTCACAAAATCTTTCTACTCAGTGTTCTCGATTAGGTCTGTGGGAGAAATAGGATATTTACATTTTTATATGCATTAGAATTGTTAAATATCATAATTATGATATCATATCATATCTTAAACTGCTGCATCCTGTTGCACTGTGTACATCTGCTTTTGTGTTCACTTTTTTTGCCATCTATGTGCAACATCGGGTAATATTCTCTCATTGTCTTCTCTTTATTGTCACTACATGTTCTGGCCTATCCGACCATCATCAGGCATGCTGGTTGTTGTGATGAAGGACTCCGCTGCTCGCTGTAATGCTGCAGTGATAATAAAGGGAAGACGACAAGATAATATTAACCGACTTGCACATAGATAGCAAAAAAGTGGAATGCAAAGCTTTAAATATCTAAAAAACAACTTTAAATATTTTATAAGCATTTTACATTACTCATAAAATGCAAAATACAACAGTATAACAATGGATCAACAGTTTTCATCTACAATCTTGTACACTTGATGACGGCCAGTTAGGCAGAAACACGTAGTGTTAAATAAAGACAAAGAGTCTTTGAAGTGTGAATTTTAATACATGGAAGAAGTTGCACAAGGATGGTGATGTGAGTTGCGCTAAAAATTGGAATAAACAGTGCAACAGGATGCTGCAATACAATATTATAAACTGACACTTTCAGGAAAATATGCAATGTACAAATATCTTGCCACTATAGGGTGCCCCTACTTCATACCTTTCAATTTTCTGCCCTAATTAACACCAACACAGTGGTTATGCAGAGTTCTGAGACTGAAATGGCACTAGCACTACTTCACGCAGGGCCCTGAAATTTAATGTCAAAATATGTCTTCAAAATATTAAATTTTTGTTAAGGTAATTTTCTTTTTCAGAGTGTAAAGTATCAGGATTACCACACAAAGTCCACATATTTAGTTTTCACTTTGATAGTGGTAGGTAATGACCCAGTGGTGAAAGGCAAGCAAAATTTTTTCTGACATCTACAAACTATGTAAGTAGCACTTTTTATACATCAGATATTACATATATGACAGCAGTGTAAAAGTCTGAAGTTATATCTGAGAGATGTACCAGCACTAGTAACATTATGAAGAGAAATGGACTACTACTTACTACATAGCATAATTTGTTCTTACTAGCCATGATTAACATGTTGATAAAGACGAAAATAGCTGGCATCATAATTCTTGTTTACAGCTGGCAATGTGGCACTGGGTGAGGTTATTCTCTGGGTACTTATTTTTCCTCCAAATCATTACTCCACAAATGATTTGCATTCATTTTTCACTGCCATTGAATGTATGATAGACCTGACCAGCCAGCATGTTATCACTAACTCAATCCTCATTTGGGTCTTCACCTATGACCCAGTCAGCAGTTGAGTGAACTCAGAGTAAAGAATGTTAACTCCTACAGTTAGTAATTAACTTGATGATGTCAGTAGCTGGGCAGGGAGCTAAGAACTCATCATAAAACACCAGAATGTTCCAAAATGTTACACAAGGCCTTGAACTTTACCACTTGGAAGACCTGGGTACATACGGAATGAACAGTAAACAGGATCTTCAAAGAGAAAGGGTGTGGAATGGTTCATCTGGCTCAGAATACAGATAAGTGGCAGGCTCCTGTGAACACAGTTATAGACCTTCAGGTTCCATAAAAGGTGGGGAATTTGAGAAGCTGATGTAGTATTTAACTTCTCAAGCACTGTATACTACATGGAATTGGTTCCTGTCCACATTTTTAGACCTGGCAGGTCTCAATGAGTGTATTTCGTTGAATCTATTCATGTAATGATTATATATATACATAATGAGAGAGACAATGTGAGTGAGTTTGGTGTGTGTGTGTTATAAAAGTGACTTAGTGCATCAATCTTCCTCTCCCACAATTCAGCTGCAACCATGTGACATTTTTTGTCTTGTTTGCTTTATTGGTTGAATATGGTATTATATTATCCCACTGCTACTCCAATACTTCTCATGCACAACCAGGAGGACAGGTATAATCAAAACAGTCTTTAGTTAGTTAGTTAGTTAGTTAAACTGCTGAAAACATTACAAAGTGTACATGGTGAGGATGTAAACAAATCAGCAAAATAACACCAAGGCCATGTTTTTGCATACCTCCAATCTCGGTTATAAACATCTGCAGTATAATATTTCACCCTGTCATTTGTGCCTACCCATGTGGCCAGATGCCACAAACAGCTTTCTGGCAACCTGTCAGGCACACCCATCAGACTAATGCAACATCCTTTACTCAGTGTGGCTGTAGCATGGCAATGACCCACTCCTTAGCATTTCAAGCCTCAAACTTCATAATACAAGGAATGATGTATCCTATGTCAATAATTTGACTAAGGATGAATAAAATTGAGCTGAAATAAATGGACCACAGACAGCCCACACAGACTACCTCCTCCCTGTAATAACCTCAAATATTTAAAGAGATGTCATTTCACATGTGGACAAAACATATTCAAAATTTATACATCCACAATGAGACACTTTCCACAGCAGTGAATATTAACCCTTTCCACACCATATATTGACTAGAGTGTCTCAGGATATTTGCATTAAAACTGCCACATCCAGTTTCATACAGCATTTCTGTTAACAAATGGCACCAAGTGCAACATACCAATGTGAAGAAGAAAGAGTGGGTTTTCAAAACAAAAGTTTCTCTAGTTGTTTCAAGTCATCTGAGGAAAGTTTATGGGGTTTCCTGTGTAACTGCATTTACCACGATCCATCCTTGGTATTTTTAGCAGGCAGTTCTATGGCATGACTTGACAGTTAGAAGGTTAATAGTGTAGCCTTCTGGGATGTCACATCATGTAGTCTGGTAGAAAGGTACCAACCTAATGCTGAGGCAATATATCCTCTCCAAATTATTTGTAATCATCTACCAAGCTGTAGGACCTGAGTCCCTGAACAGCTATGCACACAGGGGTATAAACTCCTAGTACAGTCACCCAAGTTAAACAGGTCAAAGTGTAGAGGGTGAACAGAAGGTAGCTCCTGCTCCTCCAGGTTGGAGGTTATGTGTAAGGTTAATAACCTCAACTCACAAAACAACGTGCATTAAGAAACCTGTCAATGGATGCTGGATGAACAATTTTGGGGACTGCATGTGGAATTATATCTTGCCACTTAGGATTTAATCAGTTCATTGTCAAAAAGAAGCACTGGGTAGACCTCGAAAGAGATGGATGGAGGATGTACAGAATGATTTATGAGAGCTGAATGTGAAGAGATGAAGGCAAGAGGAAAATAACAGAGAAGAAAGGTCAAAGGAGGCCAAGGCTCTTGGAGGACAACAGACAGTAGTAAGCAAGCAACTGAGAATATTACCTGTCAGCACACCTGAAGCAGATCTAGGGCCCAGGTGCTCCAGAGCCGAACACTTCCTGAGATGCATATGTGACGTGAAGAAAACCGTCATCATCCTGGTGCTCGCTATACACTTCTGCCATTGTTTTGGATAAACTCAACATTGAACGGTTGTTCACAAGAAGGTAGAATGCTTGTGTTGAACCCAGTTGCATTCTATTCCTGAAAAACAAGAGACAAATAACATTTAGTGAGATCTGAGCGTCTCACAATAGTGGGATGTGACGCTGTGTAGTCTCGGGGATGGTTACCAATGTTTTCATACTCTTTTTTTCTCCTGACTTCTCTCTCCCTTCTGCAGGTTCACTTGGAACCATTATTCCTCCAATTCACTCTGTCTTTTGAATACAACCCTCTGAAGGGCCAATGTAATTTACTGTGTTCTCTTTACTCCTATTGGTTCACTCAGAGACCTAATCCTCCACTTGCCTGTATCCATAAAATTTTTCTTCACTCAGCTTACATACATACATACACTGAAGGTGGTTGCAGTTAAGTCCCTCCAAAACGTTGGCATCCATCTATCAGACTACAGTGTCATATCCCAGAAGACAAGTGCTCTTCAAATAACACTTCCTTCACATGTAAGGGGAAACAGGAAACAATATGGCTGCATAATCATGTCAGGGATGAGAGAGAGTGAACTGGATGAGATAAAAAGTGTCTCTTATGGGTTCTATGTCGGGGCACACGGCAACGTAGTTGGTTGAGGCACTATGCTACAAGCTGGAAGGTCGCGGGTTCATGTCCCGATGAGGTCATTGGATTTTTTTTTTCAATTGACCTAATCCTTCCGGCCGCACTGTGGCCCTGCAGTGGACTCAGCCTCTAACAGAAATGAGTACCAGGAATTAATTAAACAATTTTCCTGGGGAGTAAAGCGCGGCCGGTGCCTAAGGCTGACAACCTTACCGCCATCTTTGAGCAGATTGTCTAGATAATGTGAGACCCTCAATGTCTCACAACCCTATGGGCCTTCATGGCCTGTTACAGGGATAGCTTTACCGTTTTACTTTTTTTATGGGTTCTATGTCATATCTCAGTTGGCAGGGACAATATCAGTATAACATCGTTCCATCGAACTTCTTTCGATACAGCATGCAAATTTTCCTATAAATGTAGGAACTACCTCCAATACCTAGGAGCCAGAATGAAAGCAAAATACCTCAGGTGAGAAAATTGCCTATCTTTATTAACAAAAGGGCAACTGAAACATCTACATATAAATAACGGCCAGTATTTTTTATATTAATGGAAAATCCAGTGCAGCGTTGCTAGGATATGGGGAAAATGTAAACAATCTTCCGGTGTCCCTAGAACACATGGAAAGCAATGATGGATATTCATTCATTCATCAGTAATATGTCAAGACGACAGTTCCACAGTCTCTTCCAAAACAGTTCCTCCACTTGATGTGATCTAGAGCTTTCTCCTTCAAACGAAAATATCCTCTTCTGTCCCCAAGGTCATCCAGCATCTTCTTACGTCTTCTTCCTTGTCTTCTGGTCACTTCTATCCGCCCCTCTATCTTTCCTTCAATAACTTCTTTTAGAAGGCAGTTACCGTGTAAGATATGACCGATCCAATTAGGATGGATATTAAGGCCCAAAAAAAGATACAAGGATGGAAAGAAAGGAATTATTGCCCATAATCTTTGATAGGTGGTTCACTACTATTAATACAATTAGGAAACAACTCCAGGTACCATGGTTACATGTTGTCCAGAATTTGTGCAGGTATAGGATGAAGCTTCATCTCCTCAAAATTTGCACAAAGAGAACATTTCAGGTTATACTGTGCATGCCACCCACCTGATGATGGTAACAAACTGCGACATTGTGATTTCCTGAGGTACCAAGAACTTGGTTTTATCCATCTGGGGCAGGCTCATCTCCTTGCGAAACCTGTCCACGATTACCTGAAATCATAAAGAGGAAATCTATGCCTGACAAAATACCACCGATGGGGTTATATCCAGAACCTTACAATGTACAGAGAAGCAAGTTAGAGTTTGTGGGTTATTTAATAACGTTTTCAGTATCTCTGTGTATACAGCAATAGACGGTAAGATGACTGATGAATTGGAAAGGATTTGCAAGTGGAGATACTCTCATGGAATTTGCCCAGAGGGACTGAGGAAAGCCACGAAATCCTGAAGATAGCTGGTGTCCTGGCTGAGATTCGAATCGACCACCTCCAGGATAAGTTTACAGCGTTACTGATACGACAGCCCACTCAATAACAAGTCAGGAAATATAGGGGACTAAACATCTGGGATGTAACGCAGTCATATATCGTAAGGCGGCATAGTAATCGTTTTGAGAACCGCAAGTTACATAATGTACTCAGAACGTAACAAATGAAGTACGTTCACACCCGTTTGTTTGATTATCATAAACTCTGTATGACTTTCCAGAGAAAACGTGTGTTCTATTTCCCTCTACAAATTCCAATCGAAATATTTTTTGTTCCGATAAATAATTAGCGAGTTACACTCGACACGAGAGAGCCGGGATAACTCAGTTGCTACACCAACTAGGCTATGGGCTGGACAACCGAGAAGTCGGGATTCGATTCCCGGTAGGGGAAAGGAATTTTGTTCTTCTCCATAACGTCCAGAACGGCTCTGGGGTACCATGGACTGTTTTTCCGGGGATAAAATGGCAGGGGGTTGCCAAGCTTAATGGTGGAGCTATATCTTCACTCCTCCACCTGTCTTCATGGCGTGGTGCTTAAAAAGCCTAGGGGTAACTTTTCCTTTTACAGTCGAGATGCGCGCAGTAACACGTGTAGGTCTTTATGCAAAGTGTTCGTTATTGTTCTATTTTAACCCAGAGTGGTAAAACTGTCCAGTATCAAATTAAATAAAATTCTATTAAATGAGACAGGAGTTGCTACGTGCGGACGACAGACGTGAGAAATCTAAAAGACGAATTCCTGCAAATTTGGCTTGCATACACTTCACAGTACATAATAATGCATGGGGAATTCCCCGTCTGTTGGTTCCTTCGTACTGAAATGCATAAAAAGGTCCGTTCTTTTCTTGTTTACAGGGCTGTTCCAATTTAAGTACAAAATTAACACAAGGCCTCGAGCCAGAAACAAACTATTAATCGCAGCAATTGGTTCCGCAACAGGCATCTGTCAGACTTCCAAGTGATCCCCATAGCAGCAACAGTCGCCTGGCGATACTTGGCTCGAAACTGAAATGTTCGCGTATTTGGCAAACGTCCTGTAAGGAGCAACATTTTAACGTACCAGGAGATTTTCCTGACACTGTGTATCAGCATCAAATTTGGAGCAAAGGTTAGTAAGAGTCAAGGCCCCTTTTGTTTATGACGCATCCTAGCGAACCACTGATCAGTCATATGGCTGCTCGGAAACAGCTCCATTTAAATCTACGGTTCCCCAAAGGTAAAAGGTAAAACTGTCCCTGTGCTTTACTAATTAAGCACTGTGCCATGAAAACGTATGGAGGAGTGGATGTATAGATCCACGTATTCTTGGCTTCGGCACTACTTGGAGGTGAGTGGTCAACTTCACTCCCCGGCCGCTTTACCCCCGCCACTCATTGGACAGGAAGCTGCGTGGACCCCAGAACTGGATTGGACGACGCGGACAGAAGAAATCTTGCTCCTACCGGGAATCTAACACCAACCCCTCAGCCGTCCAGCTCGTAGCCCGTTGCTATACGGTTCCATATGATGCACTGCAAATGCTCGTGGTATAGGATCCATTGAAAAGTTACCCTCGTGTACCAGTTTGTACTACTAGACACCAACACGATCTGGCCCACCACGGAACACAAAACCCTCGCATGGCGTTTCTGAAAAACAGATTTAACCACGTCAACTACGTAGCTGGATCATTTAATATACATATTGTGTATTTTTGCGAACTGGCAACTAAAGCTGTGTGAAAATGTGTCTGTTAGCTTCGGCACTGTCTCCTAATGCAACTCGAGGAGAAATGTTCATGAAATTGCACATTATGGAGTTGAACCAAAATTTGTCGCACTCCAATTTTAGTTAAAATTCAGCAACAATGAAATATTTATCGGAGAAAAAATATTTAGAACAATGGTCGTAGAGAGAAAAAATCGATTACATATTTTATGTGTAATACTTCAGTAATCCTGTTTTTGTTCAGGTTGCAGTATGCTAAATTATGTTTTGTATTATGGTTTGTTAGTAAGTCAGTTTTAAAGACAAGTGAACAAAAGGGAGCGTACTTCTTGCGTACATTTCCGCCTTAAAGTACTAGTACCTAATCCAATGACAGTCTTGAAGAGCATTTTTACAGTTGTTCATTTCATCAAGATTATAAGAAAGCGATAATTCATAACCGTATTCACAAAAGAACCCTAAAAATGGTCACTGTAAAAAGATCGTGTCCTCAAGGTTGGGGTTCGACGCAAAGCTGCGGACCTTATTCTGTAAAGAAATTATTATTGGGAAATCCAAAGAAGCGTAAACAGCAGAATCTTCTGAGGAAGGCCTAAAAAGACTGTTTTGCCGATGATGATGAGCAGGGCCCGGATTTTGATGACATGTCATCTTTTTTTCCTTGTAGCCTATGCGATGCTCTTAAATATATAAATCCCGGATACGAGCTGCTGGTTACAGAAATGTAAATTTTATAGGTAATTTTTTGCCATGTTTTGACATTTTTAGGTTTAAGGTCATTTTTTCATTTTGGGGGTATTTTTTTGGTACATTTTTGGACTTTTAAGGGTATTTCTTGTCATTTTTGGCCATTTTATGGAATTTTTCTTCGCATGTTTTCTGAAATGTGAATAACATGGAAGCGAAGTGTTCTTTCTTTTCTCCTTTAGGTAATTTTTCTGGATTTTTTCAGTCATTTTTTGAATATTTTCAGGTCATCAAAATCCGGGCCCTGATGATGAGAGACTATCTATTACGTGTTTCTTTCTAGCGAATCGCCTAGGAATATTCCGAGTACTCCCAAGTTCGGGAGAGACTGTGGCTGTCGAGTTAAGTCCATCTTTCCTTGTATTACTGATACAGTCGACAGACTTAAAACGGGAACGATTGCGGACATAGTGCGTTACCATTGACTACTTGACATTTCATGTGAGTTCCTGGTAACCTGTTTGGTGGGTACCAAGCTGTAGTACAGTTAGGTACATCACGGCTGCCGTGACTGTACGGTTCCATCACGATCACACAGAAACACAAAAAGCTCTCACTGAACTCATAAACCTTACTTCCCATTTGCACAGATTTATAGTCCTATAGATCTAATACTTGCTGCTCACTTCGCTTAATATTCGACCCTGAAAACGGTGGCAGTAAGTTCCTTCGAAGCCGGTCACGGTAGCCGAGCGGTCTAAGGCATGTACTGTCTTCGCTCGCTCGGAAGCCGGGATCGTGGGTTCGAATCCCACTCAGGGCATGGATGTTTAGTTTGTGTGTGCGCGTTTTTCTGTGTTTGTGTACAGGTAGAGGCCTTGCGACGAGCTGATCACGCGCCCAAGGAGTCCTACCGTATGTGTAAGATATAGAAAAATCGAAGTGAACGGAGAAGTTCGTGGAGATAGGCCTAGGCCCACTGGGGCTGTAGTGTCAAGAAAAAAAAAGTTCCTTCGAAACGTCGGTAACTTTCTGCCAGCCCACGCCGTGTCATATCCCAGATGACAGCACACTCCCCATCTTAATACTGATGTACGGATTCATTTCGTGTCATACTTCTCTTCTATTTTACTTTGTCTCCGCTTTTCGATTCATAATAACATTCAACTAATTAAAATACGTTCTTGCTCTGTAATCGGCCAACTGCCTGATCAGAGATGAAAACTACGATTTAAAGACCAAGAACATGATAATGTGCTGCCTGGTTGAGGCGGCGATGTCACATAAGTAAGGTGCTTTGTGGAATAACTGGCTGAGGAAAACGAAAAAGTTCTGAGGGAAAAACTCCTGAACTTCCACTCCAACCACCATGAATCTCACATGAAGTCACCTGGGACTGAACATGAGGCTCCGATCTGAGAAACCAGTAACTGATCGGAATGTTGAAAACGATAATTTTCGTTCTCTATTTTTAATCCAATTTTATGACTTCTATTCTCTTTCAGCTTCTCTTCTTCCGCTTTCTTTCCTCTATCCATCTTTGTTTCGTAACGATTACACATTCACGCAGCAAATACTTCGCCCCAAACATCTCTGAGGGCAAGTCATACCTTGAGTAGGAAACCTAACGCAAGGGAAATTTTGTGAATTCAGAGAGACCTCTGGTAAGGCGATTTTGGTTGTCAACGTATGCTGAAAATAGTTAGCAACTTCGTCATAATGACATAACGACTTGTATCACTTTCTGATCGTGATGCACCCTCAGAACGTTTTGGGCACAGTATAAGAGCGAGGTCAGGTGCCCAATATCTCGGGACTATCAAATACTCTGTCAGTGTGGCCTTCAGCAGAATGTTTATGCCGCTTTCTGGCACTGCTTCAACGCGAACCATCTTCGAATCAGATCTATTATTGCGCTCTACATTGTTGGCCAATGGTCCAATGGGCCATGTAAGGTCACATAGCAACAGGGGAAAGTCTGGAAGTTTATCAATTTTAGTGGGTCTCTTGCTTTTTTATCTGAGACTCGTTATCCCTTGCCCTCGCCATAAAAACATTCTTGTTTGTGTGGAAAATTACCATATAGATTACATTCTTTAAAACTCGTGATTAAAAAATAAAACCTAAGTTCGCGAGCCCTTGTTTGTATCCTCGTTATCAACAGCGGAGAAGAGGGTGGGGGAATAGGCATAATATGTCCTCGAATATAAACTGTTCAAGACATGTCGGATCTGAGGTTCGCACAGCGGGAACTATGACAAGTACGGTCTTCTGGGTTGTAGCGCGGAGACAGACATTTCGGAAGAACATATCTCCTCCACCATTA